ATAATTTTTGCTGTGGAATGCGAACTCAGATGACTGTAGTCCAGCAGTGACAGGTACAAATTGACGACCTTCATACTGTCTTATAACCAGAAGTGGTGCATATCCAATTCCTCCCCATAATCCGAGCAGCATTATCCAATTGTAATCACCACACCTGTAAAAGAATTCTCTTTGTATTTGCCACGGGGCTCGCCAAACAACGTCATTGCTTTGCAGATTTCGAAAGGCATTAATCCACATATCTTTCTTAATTTCTTTAGGCCATTCCTGCTCCAGAAATTCCTTTAATGGTGAATAATCCGTATTGAAGCGTCGGTATGAAACCTTTTCCGTCCTCCAGAAATGACTACGGATCCAAACATATAACAACTGGGTACACCCTGAGAATCGTCCACCTCCTAACCTTCTGCAAGCATTTAACGATCTGAAGGTCTCTGCTAGGATGGCAGAAACAGGATTAATCTTCTTCGGTAGCTGTTCAAACAAGTCTACCACTGCAGCTTCAACATATCCCAATACTTTTGGGAAGATGACCATACCATATATACCCAGAGCAAATAGATCGAATCGTACTTTAATATCTGGATGGCTTTGAATAAGTTCTCTGATGTTGGTCCAAGCTATGCCTTCGCTTTCGCCTTTTTGTTTTGTACGGGATGCTACCCATTCTTCTCGTACTCCGGCAATCTTTGCTAATTTAACTCGAAAGGGTTGAGTTTTAATTGACTTTGAATATATTCGATTCACCAAAGCACCTTCAAGATGTAACAAAGTTGTATATTCTTCAATAGTAGGGACCAAGTCCTCCTTATTGAAAGTGAAGCAATTGTACCCTGGATTCCAGAATTGAACTAGGGCTCTGAGTAATTCATCATCAACTTCAACATAGAGCAAATATGGGATGTCTCCGTAAGTCTGATAAAACTGCAATTTTTTGTTTGAATCCCAACTTTCCCAAATGCTTCGCAAATCTTGCATATCATTTCTTTTTAGTGAAACTGAAGCATAACTGGCCAAGTCAGATACATAATCATCCTGCAGACTGTCTCCTTCTTGTCTTTGTAAATCCTCAGCCCACTGTCTTACTTCTGAGTTTAGAATTATTTGACTTGAATACTTTTTATCCATAGATGAAGGCTTTCCAATGAGATAATTAACACAAGGATCAATGTCTTTTATCCTTTATGATGCAATGCAAACAGAAAAATAAAGAACACACAAAAAGAAAATAAATTAGTTTACATAATAAAGAAATTTAATAATAACATTTACATAAATATTCTTTATTTAAACATGCTTTTCTGAATTTAAATAATTTAAATAAACATGTAATTTAAACAATAAATAAATTAACAGAAAAGACAGAATTCATTTCTCCTGTGTGTACACCTATTTTGGACAAAATTTTGGCATGACTTCGGATCGGAAGAGTTTCTAAGGTTTTTTATATGCAAGGTTTCAGATCTAAGAATAAAGGTACCCGAATTGTCCATGTTAGTGCCTCCTTAGGCTGCTAACCCTCAATCCTAGTCCATTACAGACTAAAGTGGATCGAGTTCAATTCGAGGGGATACATTTCTCTATGCCGGACACGGAGAATAAATTCTCACGAAAACATAGAGTATATGAACCCCGAAAGTTACTTGCTAGGTCTGACACGGAGAATAAATTCTCACGAAGACGTCGCTTTCACTCCCACTTAAAAGGGACAACTCAATTATAGAGCTTTATGTTATGCAATGCAAGTGTTGTGTGTGAGGAGAAATGTTCAAACCTTTGACATAAAAATAAATACTGAAATAAAATACTTGTAAATAAAACATATAAATATTATAAAAAATAATAAATAAATAAATAAAAAATTTGAAAAGAAAGAATTAAAAATTAAATATATAAATTTTTAATTTTTGACTAATAGAGACAATTTATAATTGATTTTTAAAAGTTTGACCAAAGATCCCCAGCGGAGTCGCCAAGCTGTCGTAACCGGTTTTCGTCCGGGCACGAAAAATTTAACTTGACAGGAAAAGTGATGTGAATAAATGATTTTGAAAATAATTTGGGAGTCGCCATCGGCCTTTTGGGTCAGGTAGGTCGAATACCTAAAAATTATTATTTTTTTTTAAAAGAGTTTTAATAAAACACTAATAAAAAAAATAAACTGATATGCGTTTATAACCAAAAATTCATTTTTTTTAATAATAAAAAGGGATTCGTGGTCGGTTACGTTTAGGGAAGGATTAGCACCCCTACAACGCCCAAAATTGGTACTTTTTAATTATAAATTGTCTCTATTAAAAAAATTCAAAAATATATTTAATTTATAATTCTTTTATTTCAAAATTATATAAAAAATTTATTTATTTATTTAAAAATATCAGAAAAGAACTTCTAGGTGCCTTAAGACAGCTCTTTTCTTTGATATTGATAAATATTAATTTAAATAATATTATTTACTTTTTAATTTTAAAATATCAGAATAGGACATCTAGTTGTATTAAGACTGTCCTTTTCTTCGATATTAAAAATAAATATTTAAAAATTACTATTTATTATATATTTATGAATATAAAAATATTTAACAATATAATAAAATAAAAATACTACTAAAACAATATATTTAAAAACAATAAAATAAATGAAGACATATAAAATAAATAACTAAATTATAATTAAAATAAAACTAAATCTAATTCCTAATTAATTGAAATTATAGGGATTAAATATTTTATTTTCTAATTTAATAATTTAGTGACCAAAATAAAATTATCTAAAATTCGAATTTTATAATAAATTAAATTAAAAATATGAACTAGGGATTAAAAAATTATTTATTAAAATTAAGGGATTAAATTTGTCATTTATCCTAAATATATTATTTTAATAAAAAGGACTAAAATGAACAAAATTAAAATTCAAAGACTGAATTAAAATTATTATAAATTCAGTTTAGTGACCAAAATATAAAATTTACAAGTTGGGAGGACTACGGACGGGATTTAACTATTTTGTAATTACGCGCATAGTCCTTCCCGAAACGACGTCGTTCGGGAAGGACTATATATGTCCAAAAACCGGCTGGCCCGTAGGGCCAGCTTCATTTTATCATTTCTGTTCTCTCTCTAACTGAGAGAGAACAAATTTCTCTCTGCCCTCTCTCTAGCTTCCCTCATCGGAGGGAAGCCGGTCACCGGACGGCAACCGTCTGCCGCCGTGACCATCATCGCCGGCCACCGCATCCGGTGGCCGGAAAAAAAGATTTTTACACTCATATATAGATCGGACCGTCCTAAGGACGGTTCCGGTGTTATTTCTTCCTAAAAGGCTCCCAATCGGAGCGAATCTACAAAAGTACCTTCGTTGTTTCGAAGATTCCGGTGAGATCTGGTAGTCGGGGCTTCCTCGGTAAGTTCTCTTCTTCCTTTTTCCTTCTTTTTTTGTTTCTGTTTATGGGATTTTTGGCTGAGATCGTTGGTTAGTATTTTTTCTATTTCTCTGTTTTTTTTTTCTCCGGTTCTGTCTCTCTTTTTTCTTTTCTCTCATCTTTTTTCCTTTTTTTCTTTTTTTCAGGTTCGGGTGGTGGCTTTTATAGCCACCACCGTTGTGGCCGTCGGACCGGTCCGTAGAGGGGGTCTCGGTGAGTCACCGGACTACCAGTGGTGACTCACCGAGTAGCCATGGCGTGGACGGCTGCTATTTTACCTTCTGGAGTCTTCGGTTGGGACGTGGCAGCGGCGGAGGCGGTGAGGGCTTCTGGAAGCAGCAGCGGCGGCGCTGGGACGTGTCCCTAGGGTATAGATACCCTAGGGTTTCCTCTGGCAAATGGTGGACTGTTTGATCAAACCAGATCCAACGGTTGAGATTGAAGATGGCGGCTGGCTAGATTAGGGTTAGGAAACCCTAACTGGAAACCCAAATATTTAGGGTTTCTGGTTGGATTTGGACCGGCTCTGGTTGGTTTGTAACTGGGCCGGTCCAATTGTAATTGGGCCTGTAATTATATTTTTTATTATTTATTTATTTTTAATAATATTTATATGTATTTATATATTAATAATAATAATAATAATAATAATACTAATAATAATAATAATAATAATAATAATGATAATAGTAATAATAATAATAATAATAATAATAATAATAATAATAATATTAATAATAATAATATGGATAAAAAATTAGTATCTTCACCTCCAATTATTAAAAAGTTATAAAATTATCTTTTAATTATTAGATGTTTTTTTTTCTTGAATTCTTCAACAATTAAAAATTATAAAATGATCATCTAACTATTTATATGTTAAGTAGACACCAAATAATTTATGTGATAAATGAATTGTTGATACTCCTTGGGCCCGGGTGTAAAAGTTAATTATCAAAAGGTTAAGAGTTATCTTTAAACAAATATTATACTGTATTTATATCAAATTAATAAAAAAAATATTTATATATTCTAAACATATTATCTTCTGTTAAAAATGATAGTATAATCTACAGACTAATATTTGATACAATTATTTTTTAATGACGTTGATTAAAATTAATGTTATTTTTAATCTTTGGTTTGAGGATATAATATAAATAGAAAATCTATATATAAAATACAACTTATATAATTTTGTGGTCAAATTTTATAATATCTTAATTAATAATTTGACATTTAAATATAAATTTTTTAATTAAAAAATATAATTAATTATATAATTATTTTATAATTTTTAATAATCGAATAATAGGGATCACATATGAAATTTTGTGCTTAATACCATGAATTTCCTAAAAATAAGCTTGATCCAAAACCAAAAAAAAAAACCAGAATTGGATAAAATTGGACTAAAAATCCCGCGCTTCGAATTTAGATTGGAACGAGTGAACGGCACATTGCCCGTTAATGGCGGCAGCAGCGCCTCTGAAAAAAACAAAAGGCAAAGCGAAAGAAAAGAACAGTTAATCCTATCGTTGATTCTATCCACAATACACTGTCGATATTCCTCTTCCCCACCTGAGAAACCCATATATATACATATACTATATATACTCGATGTGAAATATATACATATGTATATCGATGTAATCCAAGCTTTGGGGAGGTGAATTCCGATTTCAGATTGATTTTTCAGAGTGTGGGGTTTTTTTTTTTTGGATTAATGGGGATTCGTTCTAGCACCCAAGGAAAAAAAGCGTGCCAACTTAAATATGGCAAATCTCACAAGAAGATTCCGGGTTTGTATGAGTTTCATTTCTCTTTTTCTTAATGTTTCTTTGGGTCTAATTTGAAACTTTGGGTTGTTTCTATGTTGAAACTTTGTTAGATTATTAGCATTGTTCTTAAATTTGATGAAAATTCTGCATTTGTAAAATGTTTGCTCTAATGGAGGCGTTGCAGTGGGGAGAAATTTGATATGTTATGGAATTTTTTTGCTGAAAACTAGAAGAATAATGAGATTTAATTGATTGATTAGGGTTTGAACAATCTAGAGCTAGTGGAATAGGATCAAAAGGATGATTACTCTCGATGTTTCCGACATTACCATATTCATGAGGGATTAATTTAAACGCTCTAGAATGTGATTGTTTCGGTTTCATGATTAGAAAACTATGGAGATTATGAGAATTCATTGATTGGATAGAGTTTGAACAACCTAGAAATCCGATTGTGCCTTGTGTGACATATTGTTCGAAAACAGTATAGAGTCGAATGACAATGAACTTCGATGTTTCTGATATTACAATGTTCACGGGGGCTTAATTAAGCACTTGTGGATACAATTGTGACAGTTTCATGCTTGGATCTTTTCATATTTTAAATAGATTGCAGGCCTTTAGCTTGTAGAATAATATATCTTTAATCAACAACTTCGAACTAAGGACTTAATATCACTGCAATTCCGACAGAAAAAAATCCAGAAATTCAGAGATCAAATGAAACCAAAACCCAAACCGTCTTTCCTTTGACATCCATCAAGGATGCCAAAGATCTAGGGCAGAATTCTGGATACGGCAACCTTTGCATACTCACTTATGAGGAGACAAGGTTGGCTACAAAGGAATTCCGGCCAGACCATATCGTCGGCCGGGGGGGTTTCGGGGTCGTTTATAAAGGACTCATAGATGAGAATGTGAGGCCTGGTTTCCCATCTACAGCAGTTGCCGTTAAAGATCTTGATCCGGATGGGTTCCAAGGTGATAGAGAATGGCTGGTAAATCTCGTTGCATCTTCTAAAGTAATTCTTTTAATCTGAGGTGTTATTGTTTTATTTGCGCTATATGTACATATATAGGAACCTAGGAAAAATATCCAGCGTATGTTTCTCGGACTCGGGTGTGCATGTCAGGTTACTTTTTTCTTAGTGTCTTTCTTGAAATCTGAAGTTATTCTTTTAACCTGTGGTGTTATTGTTTTATCTGTGCTATACATATGAATACCTAGAAAAAGTTCTTCATCCTATGTTACTCGGACTCTGGTATGAATTGTCGGGTCATTTTTTCAAAGTTTGTTTATGTATTTCGGATATTCATATCTGTTCGGCACGTATGGATAAATGTGTGAAAAACTCTTAAGACAAATCGAACATATTTGTTTAGCAACATAACTTGATATCTAACACTCTCACCTCAGTTCAAGTAACTTAAGGTTTAAAAAGTCATCTTTCATGTGGTTTATCATTTTATATCATATTTGATTAATATATATAGTTTGTTTAGAAACAATTACATTCTTTTGGCCATCAGAAACATCTGTTTAGAGTTGCAATTTTCTCAAGTTTATGGATTCAACTAAATATGTCAATTGACTGGGCCAGATTGGTTTGGATCTGGTTAATTTAGATTTTAAAGTTTGAGTTAAAACTGCTTTCGTGTTGGTTTCTTAGAGACTTCTCTTTTAGTATTTAAAGTAAACATAAACATAGTTGCATCATATCTGCACATATTTGTTTTGCAGGCTGAAGTCAACTACTTAGGGCAACTCAGTCATCCAAATCTTGTGAAGCTCATTGGTTACTGTTGTGAGGATGACCATCGGTTGCTTGTTTATGAATACATGTCAAGTGGGAGCCTCGAAAAACATCTTTTTCGCAGTAAGTTGTAGGGAAAAAAGCTGATTCAGAGGATATAGTGTTGTTCAGATTTAAGAATACATATCAGGATACGAGTACATGTTCATCACTTCCTCGACAGATTACTTGTATGTACACCCATTCATGATGTGCATATAGTTGTTCCATGTCTAACACATAAATATGAGCATGAAAACAGACCCTCCAAATGCATAGAAAAAGTATATTCGTATTTGATAAATACCATCTCCGATATTCACACCAAATACGAGTACAAATGAAGAGAACTAGAAAAACCTATGCTTAAAAGCATCTGCATTATGCATGGATATCAAACAGATCTGCTTTCCATTGTATTGAGAATGAAAGCATTTTGTTATTTACCAATTACCATATTTGTTATTGTTGGCTGTTAGGAGCTGATTGTAGTTTGACTTGGTCGAAAAGAATGAAGATCGCTCTAGATGCGGCAAAAGGGCTTGCTTTCCTTCATGGTGCCGAAAGACCCGTCATATACCGTGACTTCAAGACATCCAACGTTTTGCTCGATGAGGTTATTCATCTTTCCCTTTGTTATTCAATTTCATTAGTTTCCACTCGGACTTGATTGTTAGTGTTATATACAGGAATGTTCAATTTTGATAATCCTTATATATCCCCATACCCAAATATGTCGGAATTTGGACTAAAAATGCATGTAAAAATGTGATTGTCAGTTTCCAGCACTAAAAATGCATGTAAACATGTAGGACTTCAATGCAAAGTTGTCGGACTTTGGACTCGCAAAGGATGGACCAATGGGAGACCAAACCCATGTTTCAACACGAGTGATGGGGACACACGGTTACGCTGCTCCGGAATATATTTTGACTGGTTAGTAACATAAAATCTGTTTTTGAGAGGATTAAACTTGTCCATATTGAGTCACAGAAATATAAGATGTATGAGATGCGCTTCTTTTGTAACATCCTTTCATAAACTGACATATTGGTTAGCATGATGTTTTGATATGTCGATACTCGATGATAATGGCTAACCAAGTTGCAGTATAAACAGGCCATTTAACAGCAAGGAGTGATGTTTATGGATTTGGAGTAGTGTTACTAGAGATGCTCATTGGAAGAAGAGTAATGGACAAGGGGCTTGGCCAAAAACAAAACTTGGTGGAATGGGCTCGACCACTCTTGAACCATGACAAGAAGCTTATAAAGATATTAGACCCTAAGATGGAAGGTCAGTACTCTCCTAGAGCTGCAATGAAGGTTGCCTATTTGGCATACCTGTGCCTTAGTGAAAACCCGAAAGGCCGACCTTCAATGAGCCAAGTGGTCGAATATCTCGAGAAATTTCAGACAAAAGATGCTAGTCATGAAGAAGCAATGCTTCACAAAGGGGCTCACCACAACAGTGTAACCCGTGACCAAGCTCCCGATAGGTCCCCTCAGACTCCTATGATAAAGAGAAATTATACGAGAAGTGAAACTCACAAAGACAAGTGCAATCAAAGAAATGAACCTGGAAAAGAAAGAAGCTGAAGCAACCCTCCCCAAGAGCCTAAACTTTTTAGCCTTCGAGTTCTGAAGCTGACGATAAGGTTGAAAATGTGACCAAAGTGTTTAACAAAAGAGTTTTCTGAGGATCTATAAAGTTCGGTTTGAGAGCTTCCATTGCCCCTTGATGTTCAGGCTTCCTAGTGGAGCACGTAGGCTGGTTCTCAAATGTTGCCTGGAAATTTGCCCTCTAGCCTTATACTTTCTTGAAGTTAAAACCTTTTCTTTTTGGAAATGGTTGGTTACTTTGTGCTGACATGGTATTGCACATGTGATTTTTGCATCCGAACATTTTGTTTCAACTTCTCGTATGAAATTCATGAAATATCTTTTATAATTTGCTCATCTATCTTTTCACAAGCAAAATGGCTTAGCATATATACAGTAGTCCATGCACATTATCAATGCTTTACCAAATACATTTGACTAGGGACTATGTTCGAAGATTCAACTTCACTACTCATTCGATTTTCATAATTGTAACGTCTACCATCCCATGTAAAGTCATATAAATCTTCAGGACTTCATTCAACTAATGGCTAATGATATCTGTAATTACTGCAACAGTTTTGGCCTAATGGCTGTATTGGGATATCTAAAGAGAATGGTTCAAATATTTGTCCATGGATTAAATTCTTTTGGACCATTTTTTGAAAAATCCTAGTCCGGCATCGGGTTTAGGAGGTTGATGCCTTCGAGGATTGGCTCTATATCATATACACTAGCATCTCCAACTTGCACTAAACTAACAGCTAACAAAGCTCTTCCGTTTAGAAATCAATCTTATCTCTATAAGGGCAATTTAGCTTTTTGGAAAAAGATATACATGCACTAGCAATGAGACAAATAAATGCCAATTCATTATGCCATTTCAAACTTGGTGAAGCATCTTTAACAAACTAATACCTATTAACGAAAATTTAACAACTGGAACAATCGGCATGCAATACCGCAGTAAAAGGCAGAAAATACCTGAATAGATCAATTATAGAGTACTTCATAGGATGGACCTCTATACAGCAAAAACAGTACGGACAACGGACAAAACGTATTATGCCTAGTGCTGTTCTTTCGATGGTCCGAATCCGTGCAGAATTTTTTTCATTCAACCAGTAAATAACTATGAGCATTTTCCTGTTAACAAAAGCAGAGTAAAAAAGGTGTACTAGTTCAATTGGCGGCGCAAATGATAAGAATAATTCTTAAAGGGAAGACAGTATAAGAGGCGATGGTGCACCAGAACTAACATCAAGTCTGGTTGATAGTTATCAAAGATTTATACAAGATCTAATCCATCCAATAAAGGCCATTTAAATCTATTTAACTCTGTTTAATTCATTTTTTTGTTTAAATTTGAAGTATTAAAATTATATTTTTCACAAGTGGAATCTGAACTAGAAATTTCCTTCCAAATTTTCCCAAAACCTTGACATTTATTGGAGTAGCATACTTTGGCATTTATTGGCATAACCTTGAAACACTGACATGCACTCAGAAAATCAAAGTGAAAACACTGTTGTGATAAAATAGAAATTGACAACGTTAAGTCACAAAATTCTGGAGATGTATTTGAACTCTAAAGGACGTAAATTTCAAGTTCACTAGAGGATAAACAATTCAAGATCAAGCAGGGTTATGAACTTCGTGATTCTATCAACCTAGTTATTATTTAACCTACAAAACCTACCGGTCCTCTCAAATCATTCTCATGATCCTTATCGCATTCTCTACTCTAGCCAGGGTGACAAATGAAATCATATACATGTATATTTCCTTACCCCATTCTTGGTGGAACCTTACTACCAGTTGAGTAACCGATCTTCTTTCAGCAGGGTTAGAAAACTCCATGTTCTTGGCCTCCTGAATTGCAGATAAAATCTCCCTTCTTATTTTAGCAGAGGGAATAAGGAGACTTGGTCCATGGATAGCACTCAAATCAACCACCTGAAAACCAGGGATCATAGAGGGTTAAAGTATGCTGATTTGAACTCTAAAATTATCAGCTCATTATAATTGGTTTGACACATCAAGAGACATCTTTTGTTAGGTAATATGTTTAATATTAAGCCAAGAGAAGAAATTTGTTTAAAATTAAAGTTTGAAGCTGTGCATGGAAAACCATTGAAACAATTAAGGGGACAATTAGAAAAATGATGGAACTTGGAGAAATAGAAAGCAACCATGGTACATCAAGTACTCACCCTTGGACAGATATACAGAGTAAACAAATCTTAGGCAATCAACTGGAAAAGCAAGTCATGTTGGGCAAGAGTGCTTGACAATACTGACCAGGATACATGCATGAATAATTTTACCAATACCAAAGGCAATATCTTTGGGTTCTATTAGATATCTCAAAGAAACAGAGAAATCTATCATCCCCTAAATTGTGATATGTAAATCATGTATAACAGGAGTCCAAAACATACGCTAAAAAGTATGATCGGTAACTTGCCTGCTGCAACCATGGGATAACACAGTTGATAAATCTCTGTTCCAGGAGGTACGATGCCAAAGTACTGAGAATATTGTAGACATTCTTTTGAGATAAACTTTCTAGAACAGGACCAGTTCTATCAAGAAGCTCAACGAGGACAAGTTCATCACCAGAAGAGAGAGCTTTTGCATATGCAGAGTCTAAGTCACCTTGGCATAGAAGACTTTTCACATGTTGCCATAAACCATCTTTGTAGTCGGGATACTTCTCTCTGCCGCTCATAGTTGTAACAGAAGAACAAGTAAAGGCAGCTTCATTTTTTCTAACCTGACCAATGTCATGTGCCCCATACCCGGAGCTTTTGGGCACATTAGAATTTCTACAAAATTTTACAGTATGATTAGACCATAGCTCCATACCCTGCTTGGAACAATTGGGTGACCTGTTACTACCAATTGCTTTTTCCTCCCAAACATCAGAATTCTTCACTGACATCAAAGAAGGCCTTGGTGTGCAAGAAGGCAGTCTGGAAAATGAAGCACCAGCGCCCTGCTTCTCAATTCTGGAATTCACTAAATCAGGATGCTTTCCTTTCTGCAGGAGGTCTTGCCCCATTTGATCCACTACATGTTCTAAACTTAAGACCTTCGACTGTAGCAAGGACATGCTATCCATTATACCAGTTGAAAATACCTAAAAGAAAATATAATTCATGACCAGAAAGAAAAGGTTAATACAGCTGCCAAGCAATTACTACCGGAAGAATACTTTTTCAAAGGTGGAAAAAGAAAATTGAAAAAACTCAAGAGTTAAAACAATAAGATGTAGCACCGGTTTGCATTTGGTGCCTAGGATTAATGAGGACAGTATAGAATGAGACAGGATCAATGTGTTAATTATCTTTGTTTATCTTATTTCGGTTGCATGCACAAAAATGTTTTCATGCTAGTTTTCACCGTCCTATCCACATATGCTTATCCAAGTTTCCCTCTCCATAGGATTTTGCAACCATATCCATATAAAATAACAAATCTAACTTCCACATTATTCTATTAAAATACTAAAGCTGACACGTATAGCATAAAAATGAGTAACGCCTCTAATTTAGATCATTTTATTTTGGCGTTTGCATAACAAAAATTTTGGATTGTCAAATCTCCCTCTTCAAAGGATATGTAATCATAGACTCATATAAAATCTAAGGCATCTAACTTTACACAATGAACATCAAATAAGAAATCATCATATCCGATTCCTCTATGTACCAAATGTGCTCTCATGGTATTACTTGATGAAATTGACCAATAAATATAAAATAAAAGAGAGAAAATTAGAAAATCAACATGATAGAATGACTCAGAAGCTCCAGGTTTCAACTTTATACTCCCAAAAATTAGAAAGTATGCCAAGGTTGGCCCTTCATGGTGATATGCATGTGACAAGCATTTTATGCCAAAGATAAATCCTCAACACTGAAAGGTCATTCTGCGTTTTAGAATGGTTTAGAATGCATAGAGTATCAGAAGTACATCATTTAGCTATTGAGAAATCACCTGGAGAAGATCCATCAAGTTGGACTGCTTGCTGTCAATCTCCAAAAGTTGTTTCTGAATGCCGACAATTTTATTCTCAATCCGTGCATAAAATAGCGAGATGGTTTCTGGACTTGATTCATTGACTGCCGAATCATGACTTCTGCAGTCCCTAATTTTTCTGGAGCACACACCATCTTCCTCCTCATTGCTAATTTCTTCACCTGCAAACCGCTGGTTTCGTCCCATGGACTTCTGCCATTGTCCGTCGGCAATATGGTTATGAGGAACAGTTACATACTTAGGCCCAAAGTTATCACTAAGAAGGTTGGACACCGAAGAACATTCTTGTTTGTCATCCACAGGGACAAAGTGATATCCTATATCTTGTGTACTTGTAGTGTCGGGCATAATTCTATCCAATGTCTTGGTGACTGTACTCCCTTCAGATTCTTCATTCTGAACATCTGCTAAAGAAACATTATGTTTCTCTGAAACAGAAATTTCAATATTCCAATCATCATCTTTGCAATGTTGAGGGTCTTGAACATAATTCTGGGATGTCTTTCTAGCAGACAGAGGCACCCTTCTCATAGCTGACTTTGTAGCAGTAACTTTCTTCCCAGAGACATCTTTCCACCCAGAGTCATTGTTACTGGTGATATCACTGTAATCACCTCCACAGAAGTTTTCTGTGGAAAGTATAAAGAAACAAATAGGAGCATTATGAAGAGGAAATGAAACCAGTTTTATTACAACCAAATGTCACTAAACATGTTATGTGAAACAAATTTCAAAGGGAAAAAATTCAGTTTCAAAATAAGAGTAAAAACACCAGCTACTAAACCTTTTACATAAGATCCAGCCTCGGAAGGTTCAGAAGTATCAGGTCCAGGAACACTTCTCCAGTACTGAAGGGCATGCAGTACTGTGTCCCTAACTGGTTTGACCTATAAGAGACAAGAACCTCATAATGTGGTACAACCGTTCATAAGAAAATTCCGCATAGTACAAATTCATCCCAAATTCTAACCCTGTCAAAACGACATGACTCAAGGGAGCAGATGCAGGAAGCCCTGAAAGATCCCAAAAAAGATGCACCACTTGAAGCAATCTCCCCCAATGCTATAGAAGCAGCTTTACGTGTTGTCCAGTCACTGTTTTTAAGAGCTTCTTGAATGCTAGCCATCGCCGCAGCCAGAAGACTCTGTGTTGTAGCACCTCCTGCCTGGAATGTACATTAAAATGCAAGTTTTACCATAAATTAAGCAGGTATACTGAAACCAATCAACAGAAAACAATGATAATGAAGGAGCAGCAGATAAAACCAACTCCATGAATCATCGAGGATTGAAATGGCAACAACTTATGTCATTTGTTATACATCCGCCCTAAAACTGACCCGGATAATGCTTCTGTTTAATTCAATTACTGCTGATTTCGCCATTAATTGTGGATTCTTGAGCAATTTTGTAGTGCGAGCCAGCATCCGCTGCAAAATTGAAGCTGGAGGATCATGGGTATAGTCAATGACCCTTGCCAAGCACAAAGCTGCACCTGATTGCACGTACTTATGTTGTTCACCTAATGCTTCAAAAAGTGGCTTCACCAACATAACAAAAACCCCATTATTATCATCTTCGTGATCACTCAATTTTGAAGCCAAAACACCCATTGTTTCATGGCAAGTATCCCTCACAATGGAGTCGGGATCCTTAAGCCTCTTAAGGATGCTAGCAACCATCTTACTTAGATAAGGAACAATTAAGCCATGATGGAACCTAGCTAATGTAGCCATCAACCTGACAGACTCCTTTCTAACCGCGCTCTTCTTCTCTGAATCAGTATCCAATATACATGACAGAAATGGGGAAATCTTATCCGGGGTTAGACATTCTGCTGTTTTCTCAAGTTCATCAGCTCCAATTTGATATGTATCTCTATCGCCTAACTTGTTCAGCGCCAAATTCACCTTACTCTTCAGCTCAAAAGCTACCTGTTGTGAAGTGATCTTGGAGGGTCCTTTAGCTTTCCTTTGCACGTGTGCCTTCATCATGTTACTAGCTATCCACCTATTTTCACAGGGTTAAAGAGTTTTACAGGAAGCATCATTGCTTGTAAAATGAATTTGCAAAAAGGAAAAAAAAAGAATGAATTAAACATAAGATTTCTTCAATCAAAGATTACATTCATTTACTCAGTAAGAAATAGTATCACACAATGGAGAACCCGGAAAGTTAAACATCATCCTCCATTCCATTCTAATTAGAATAGTTAAAATCTTTGAGTGTGGGAAAACATGAAACCCTTATTCTATTAAAAAAAACTAAACCCTATCACAATACAAGACGCTAGCCTAATTGAAACCCGGAAGACACAGATTCCAAGTTTTCCATTTCGTTTCTCTTTTTTCTTAGATTTTCTCGGTAAACAAAAAGAAACTTCAAAAAATGTCAAAAGAATAAACTCAGCTTAGTAGCTTACACTTAATAACGAAATGCAGGATACTCAGAGCTTAAGGGGCGAAAACAACGTCATTTTGCTGCAACAGAGCTTTGAAATTTTTAGCAACTTACTCCTAAGGACCTGAACATCAGCGAAATGGAGCTGCTTCAAAGCCTGATTAAACTGGAAATTTTTAAATAGCAGATGAAATATGAAATTTAAATTTTCAAAAAAGGAAAATGCACGAATCTCAGTGTACCCTACGTGGTGCTTTTATAATTATTTGCTTTGCTTCAGTTTTCGCGCTTACTCTCTGTGTTTTGAATTTGGGGGAGGGCTTTGACAGCCACGTGTCATTTTCAAAGTCATATTCCCGATGGACGGTTTCGATCGTCTTGTCCCTTTGCGTTCAATTGTTTGGTTAAACCATCATATTAGTCTACTAACTATCAAAAAAATTCATTTTGGACTACTGGTAGATTTTGAGGGGGGAAATTGGGGTCTAATTAAAGCTCTAGGCTTCAGGAGTAATTTTTCGCTCGTTAATGTCTCAAATCATCAATTTTATCCTTTCTTTTTAGTTATATCAATCTAATCTTTAAATTCAACTATTTATATTAGTGTTGTCATTTGATCGATGAAAATCATGGTTGATCGCTACAGTATTAACATGACAATTTTTTTTGCTCGACAAGATGATTTTATTATAAATCGAAAAATAAATCTTAATTGTATGTCTAGTTAAAAAACTTCCTTAATCCTAAATGAAGAAAAGTAGAACATACAACTCGGAAGGAACAAAACCAACGACAGACTTCAGACTTACAATCCAAAAGTACTACTAAACAAAACCAGTAATAAGCTGTCAACAAAGGAATTTAATGTATGTTTTAACCAAATTAGGATGAGGTGATGATCCATGTTATTGGTATAGTAGTCCTCTGATGACTTGATAAACGAATTTAATGATTTTTTTAACCAAATTCAATGATATAATTGGTTTTTATAGGAAGGTTGAAGACCTATTTAATAGTAAAAAAAGTGAAAATTTGGGGGTTTGAAGTATATTTTTAAGCTTTTTTTAATTCTAGCACTTAAATTATAATTAATTTATAGTTTAACCTTTTAGGCATCGCTCATTAATTGATTAGAAATGTCACATTATTTCAACACCATCATGTCAAAGGGGTCAAAGAGGGTTAAACCTTTTAGTGATTATTATTGGCATTGATCATTCTTTAAAGGATGTGAATGGTACCGATGACATGCATGGAGTACTTATTTTATTTGATGATTGATTTAATATCTCGAATAATCCGTTGAAAAAACTGATCTATAACACTACTACAAGTTGTCCCCAAACTCATCAATGTTTATATAAAAATTATTAGAGTAAATTATATTCAAATGATTATTTTGGTTATTATATCGTGAATAAGGTCTTTTCTTACAATGCTATCAAGTTTTACTACATGCATGGATGTGAATATAATTGAAAAGGTAAAATACATATAAATAATGATTAATTATGTTGAAATGATTTGTTGTCACTAAAATTTCAAAAGTTATGTTGAATTGTTATTAGTGGTTAAGGATCATTTTGCAATAATACGATAAATTTAATGATCATTTCATAATAATTAGATAAAAAATTTACAACCATTTTATAATTATTTTACAAGTTTAATGATCATTCTAACACTCTAGTGAACAATAAAGATAATTACAGCACAATCTAATAACCATTTGCATGCTTTACCTTGACGAAAGACAAACAACTTAAGGTGATTTATCGAAACGTTTGCTGCTTTTGAACTTTCCAACGACCGTTCTCCAATTGAACCATTTTTTTGCGGTTCTTACCGAACCACCATTTCGAAGGAATTTTGTACTCTTTTTTCAGACGACCTGAGTGTTTGTTTACGAGTGCTATATCATGATCTAATAATTTGCTAGCGTTGTTCTCGATGTCTTTGATTGCAACTCCATGCATATATAGGTCCATACTGTGAGTACTAAAAAGGATTTCTGGAATGCTACGTTTGCGTTTGTGTCTACTATTAGATTCGTCTGGAATTGGTTGAGATTCGTCTTGGTCTTCGTCTTCGCAGATACGCTTGGCTTTAAGTTTATCATCTAGAGGGACTATGTGACTATCGCTACGTTTGCGTTTAGTGCCCACGCCATTAATGCATGATAAGAAAGGGGATCCCACAGACTTCATGCTCGGAGTCGGAGGAGAAATAAGCCCCTTCAGGTAGTTTGACATCGAGGAGTCAACAACCAATTTATTTCCGAAATAAGTTTTCGAACCCGGTGGAAGTTTAGTAACCGGATCTTTTTTATTTTTTATACGAAGAAGATGATGGTGTTTGCCGAGTGTACCAAATATTTTTTTCAAATTAACGTTTCCGATATGCGGACCGCCGTAGGTGAAGGCAGTGACCATGCACGGCTTGTTGCCGGTGGTGGGCTTGTTATATCCATTGGCAACTATGTCCATTGCGGTTAGGGTTGCGAGTGCAGCACCCAAGCTGAACCCGGTCACAGTTATGCTTGTTTCCTCATTTTCGTACTTTTTCACAAGCTCCTCTACCGCGTCCAGGACCTGCAAGGTAGCATGGAAATGGTTTTTACAATATATCTACGTATACGATGTATAATTGGTAGAAAACAAGTACGTATACCTGCTGTCTGGCGCTAGTTTCGCAACGAGTTCTTGTTCCGGTATAAAGAGAGTGGAAGCCCCGGTGCAGTTTAGCACCGTGTTCCTTCGCAGTGGGGAATATATCAGTACCGGATGTATGATTTATGATGCAATCATTGATGAGTTCCCAGTTCGTCTTGGTTCCTCTCCAAGCGATCAAAATGTCCCTCCGGCCGAGTGCACGCTTTCCTTCATCGGTGGCCACGGCCACATATCCGAACCATGACGACGGAACAACTCTTGTGCCGGCATAAATGAACCGATCCACGTCGTACTCGTATAGGTTTCCTTTTACGAGACAAGCCTTGGTGAAGAACTCTTCTTCCGTCGCGTCTGCTGCTTTCTTCTTTTTGTTGAACAGGTCTTCTATGGCTGCAGTCATTTGACCGTAATGAATGATATATCTGCGGAGATCGGGATCTAGAGGTTCAAGGAGACCCTCCCAATTGTTCTCGCCGCTTAGTACTCTCCATCGGCTTGCTATGGATCCGCACATCACTCTTTTTTTTTTCTTTCTAAATTTGTTATATGCCGCAGCCGTCATGGTTGGACGCTTTATATAGCCCGAGCTACTTCTCTCCCATTTTGAAGAAAGTTTGGAGGAAAAAATGGCCTACTTATTTTATTGATTATAGAAAGTCTTATATGCGTCAGCCTAATATACTATAAGGAAATGTGTTATCGGAAATATTATTATTTTTTAATATTTTTCGGAAAAAATTTATCTAAAACATTATTTTTTCTAACGAAAATATTATTATTGTGCGTTTTATCGAGTTTGTTAACATATCTGGTAAAACGCTACCTAAAATATTATTTTTTTCTACCGAAAATATTAATATTAAACACTTTACTAGAAATGTTAAAAAAATTAATATTTTAAGTAAAAAATAATAATGTTTTAGGTAATTTTTTACTAAAAATATTAAAAAATAATAATATTTTCAATAACATATTTTCTTAATCATATATTAAGATAGATTGTTGTACGACATAACTTCCCCTCATATTTCGTTGACAAATTGATGCTACGTACCAACAACTCAATAAACAACGAACCTGCAGGGTCCCCATCCCCTCAACGTTGGTTTTTTTTTTTTGTAATTTATTATTTTCTTATTTAGATAAAAATCATAATTAATGATAATATGATGGTTGATAGATATTTGAGTTCTCCGTCTCCAGTGGCGGATCTATAGCTTGATGAGGGTAGATACGTGTTTGTCTTAAAATTCGAATTTTCTTCAATTAGTTATGTATTTTATTGATAGTGAATACTTTGAAATTTTTTGTGCCTACCTTGAAATCTGAATTTTTTTTTGGATTAGTTACTTATTTTATTAACGATATCTACCCTAAAAGTTTATTTGTATGCACCCATTAATTTTTTTTTATGTTGTTAAAATATGTGTGATCACCATAAAAAATATTTCTGGATTCGCCACTATCTATCTTCATAAGAAAGAAGAAGAAAAATAAGTAAGAACAGGTTGGAATTTGTTCTCTTAATCTTTGTTGAGAAGCTTTACGGTGATCAGACATAAAATTTTAGTATGTGGTTACTTGTAAGTTTGTAGGTATGATAAATACGACAAACTGATAATGAATTTAGACTATGATATATACATAAATCATGCGAGTCTAAAGGTTCGTAACTTCCTGAAACATCTTAAGAGGTGAAAGACATTTTAAATCTTATATATATTTAGAGGCTTTTTAAAAGTTATATAATCTTTTCATAATTTTTCAATGACTATAATATTTTTATTTATTTATAATTTCTTTTGTTTAAACTGTTCGCATAAATTTATGTATTATTATTTTTCTTTTATGACAATGATTCAATTATGATTATTACAAGCATGTCTCATGCATGTTGTATGAATTGTGAATGTTTGGTTGAATTATTTTTTGTAGAGATGATAAGAGCACTGACGTGAGATAAAATAGTACTAATAATGATTTAGAATTATAAAATAAATTTATATTTCCATCAACCTCAAATTTTCTCTGCTTTCAAACTCTTATTAATAAAATGATTATTACAAGCATGTCTCATTCACACTTCATTTGTTTTGATTACCTACGTTGATTTCTATATTATTACCATGGACTTGATAACAAGTTGGATGTTAACGTGGTTGTTAGAGTAATCGTTGGTTTGTTTTTGGTTGTTGGATCGAGTTGAGATGTAGTTATGGATCCATATGTATTTAAGGTGTCACTACATCCATATGTATTTAAGATTGGGTAAAATACTTACGTGTCTATTCTGAAATTCGATTTTTTAGTAGTTAAGTAATGAGTAAACTACAGAATTGGTCACTTTTATTTGAAGAAACAAGAAGGCTATTTAATGGAGCATAGATGTTGAAGTAGAAGCGGGGGGAAAATGAATGATATTAAGGGTTGGGGAGAAGAAAATATTATAAATAGGTAAATTAAAAGTGTTGTCCCTAAACTAATTTAAATTTACAAAAAGACCCTGAATCAATATTTTATTTAAAGTTTAGGAGTTAAAATAAAAATTAAATCAGTTTACTAACGAGTTACGACATCAAACTAATGACATTCAACGACCAAGTGACAAACTTAATAAAACAATAACGTAAGTGACGACAACTTATGTTTTTTAAATTTGGTGAGTAAAAGTGTACAATTATGAAAGTAAAATTACCAAAACTTAATCCATGTATTATCTTCATGAAAATGGTATAATTTTAATTTTATATGTTTATCGTGCCACGTCAGCAAACCGTTAAAGGTTTAACGGCCGTCAACCTTCAGTTAACCTTCAATGACCACATCTTAATTAAATTGAAACGAAAGTGACCAAATAATATGATTTTTTTTTAATTCGGTGAGGAAAAGTTCATAAAACTCAAATGAAAGTGGAAATTTCTATAGTTTATCCTTATCTATTTTATTAATGATGTCCACTCTAAAATTTTATTTATACTCAACCCATTTGAATTCGTGTTATTAACATATATGTATAGACCCTCAAAAATATTTTTAGACCCGTCGCGGAAGACGTGATAGTTATGATAATCAGATGAGATTCGATTAAAAAAAACCATCTCCTCCCTAATATTGAAACTATCTTGATTTTATTATACACATGAATCCTCATCCTAAATTTTGTTATATCAATCTCGCGACCTACTTCGTGTAATATATTTTAATAAATAAATTTTTAATGAAAAGGTGTAAAATACTTATTCTCATGATTTTCGACACGTATTTGATGTTATCTTAATTATTATCATAATGAATAATAATAATAAGTTGATGTTATCCTTTAATTGATAAATAAAAATAATCCCAACACAAGTTTAAAAGTTTTAAAAAAGTAAAGTACTTGCATAATATTCAAATTGAAGTGCAGGCTTGTGGTTGAGTTGTAAATTCAAGGTTCTCGCTGTTCTTTGGCTCGATGCTCTCGATGAGCATCAAGGAGTTCTCTGTAGTTGTCTTTTTCTGATTGTCGGTTTGATTTGGATGTTTTCTGTGTCTTATTGTTTTTGGTCGATGATGATTATCGGATTTATTTCTTTTTGAGTTGTAACTTTTACTTTATTGCGGTGTATTTTTCCTGTTATTAATTTAGGGAGATTTTTAACAACGCATGCAACGAAGTTTTGGAATTGTTGGGTTAAATTCTCAATAAAATCTTATTTGTTGTGGAAAAAGGTAAATTTCACGTTTAACACCTAAACTATTAGTTTTGATCCGTTTTAGTACATAAACTTTCAAAAAAAATTCAAAACCACACCTAAAGTTAGTTTTTGTTTCATTTTAGTTTAGTACACCTTTTCAAAATTTAGCATTAAGTTTTTAAAAAATTTGAAAGTTTAAGTATTAAAACATACCAAAATTGATAGTTTAGGTACTAAACACGTTAAGTTTTTAACAATAGGGTGCTAAAATAAAACAAAAACTAAACATTATATATGATTTTGAACAAATTAAAAGTTCAGGTACTAAAATGGAACAAAACTAATAGTTTAGGTACTACATGTGTAGTTTACCCAAAAATAGGGCAAATTATATCATTCCTCATTGAACTTTATTTTCTCTCTTATTTTGCTCACCGTACTTTCAATTTTTCTATTTTGCTCATTGAACTTTACATATTGAATCATTTTGCTCACTTTACCGTTAACTTTTTAACGGTGTTATGACATGACACAAGCATCAAAACGATGTTGTTTTGAAAAATTCAAATATGCACTAAAACGACGTCGTTTCGAATAATCTTCTTTCCCCCATTGTCGTCGTCGGCCACCATGTCATTTTTCATTCCAGTCGACCGTCGTTGACGGTGACCGTTTGGTCCCAAAATTCATGGGTCGGGTCGTCTCGACCCCTGAGTCCGAATATGATGGTTAATGTCCCAAAATCCGTGAATCTCGATCTAAACATTTCGACTTCCTCACTTTTAATCTTTGATTCATGGACTACGGAGCAATTCCCGATAAAATGGAGGTCGGATTTGGACTCAAGGTGTCGAGGCGAAGCGACCCATGAAATTTAGGACCGAAGAGTCACCATCTACGACGATCGACGGTGGTCGGCGGTGACATTCAACCACATTCTATTTTTATTTTATAGTTGGGTGAGCAAAATGTGTGTGAGGAACGATGTAATTTACCCTTTATATTTTCAATTATTTTAAATTAAATAATAAAAAAATGACATGTCATCACACCGTTAGAGAGTTAACGCTAAAGTGAGCAAAATGATTCACTCTATAAAGTTCAGTGACCCAAATAAAAAATTGAAAGTATCGTGAGCAAAATAGGAAAGAGAGTAAAGTTCAGTGAGGAATGGTATAATTTACCCAAAAAAATATAACACAAGTAACTAGTTGGAAATGAGAGAGAGAGTATTAGGCTAAGATAGGTAGTTTGTCGTACGACAACCTAATATACGGTTAAAAAAAACGCTACCGGAAATGTTATTGGTTTTTAAACATTTTTTGTAAAGCGTTATCTAAAATATTATTTTTTCTAGCGGAAATATTAGTCTCGCTACCTAATTTTTGGTAAAAAAATAATATTTTAGGTATTACTCAATATTAACATTTCCAATAATAAAAATAATGTTTTAAGTATCACTTTACCGGAAATGTTAAAAAATCAATAACATTTTTAATAACGTATTTCTTTAGCCGTATATTAGGCTGTCGTACGGGAGACATCCCATGCCAAGATGTGTAGTTGGAGTCTAAATATCAAATACGTCTCAGCTAGTGAAACACCAAGTCCTAGCTATGGAGCTACCGTCACTCTTTTTCTTCTTTATTTTACCCTTTTTTTCCCTTTAATCTTTTCTCCAATAGCCATGGTTGAATGCTTCATATAGAGAAACTTCTTTTCCATGACGGACATAGTTCACCATTAGCATTAGGATATCAAGTTAGCGTCATGCATGATTGTGCAAAATATAAAAATGACTTTTACCGTAGACTTGTCGTTTATATATTATTATCATGAACTTGACAACAAGTTGGATGTTTTTTTGAATTGATATATATATTAGTATCGTAGACTTGATAACAAGTTGGACGACTTCGCGGATGTAAAGCATATTTACGGTGAGCACGTGATTATCATAGAATCTGAATTTTTTTAATATTAATTGTTAATTTTATTATGGATGTCCACCCTGAAATATTACTTGTGATTACTCTATATGAAAAATTTTAAATAATTAATATGTGTGTGCCGACCCTAAAAGATAATTTTAGGATCCTATTACATAATGTAAACTTCTTTAAGTTTTACACAGATGTAAAACTAATGGATGAGTGAAAATAGATGACTGAGATTGACTCCTTTTTTTCAAGTGAATATCTTTTTATTTTCTATTGTTAATCTCAACCATATATTTTCACTCATCCAACAGTCCTAAATTTATGTAAAAATAAAAGAATTTTACGTTATATAACATGATCATATCCCTTTTATCTCTCTATACATTTATATATATATATATAACCGTCACTCTTAAAACCTAAGACAAACCACAGACTCTGACAACCACGTTAACGTCCAACTTGTTATCAAGTCAACGGTAATAATATATAAATACATTCAACAAAACATCCAACTTGTTGTCAAGTGGAAGGGACCGTTTGGCTTATACGTTACTTTCCCCGATTAATACGAAGAAGAAGTTAACATTTCGACTTCCTCACATTCAATCTCCAATTCACAGACTTAGGAGCAAGTTCCGACAAAATAGGGATTAGATTAAGACTCAAGATATCAAGGTGAAGCGACCCATGAAATTTGGGACCTATCGACCACCATCTATGACGGTCGACGGTGGCCGACGATGGCATCCGCCACATTATATTTTATTTAATAGTTGGGTGAGCAAAATATGAAAGAGAGTAAAATTCAATGAAGAATGATGTAATTTATCCTTTATATTAAATAGAAAAATGACACACCATCACACTGTTTAAAAGTTAAATACAAAGTTAGCAAAATGATTTAATCTGTAAAATTTATTGAGAAAAATAAAAAAATTAAAAGTACGAAGAGTAAAATAGGGGAGAGAATGATGTAATTTACCTTTTTTTTATTTACAAATCATTGATTTCTTGTTGGATTGCGTTCTCCAGGTTCTTGACGCATTGAGAGAGCTTGTGAACAGGTACAATGATGAGGAAATAAGCATAACCGTGACCGGGTTTAGCTTGGGTGCAGCGCTCGCAACGCTAACCGCAATGGACATTGTTGCCAATGGATATAACAAGCTCACCGCCACCGTCAACCAAACCAAGACGGCCATCATGGTCAAGGCCTTCACGTACGGTGGTCCGCGAGTAGAAAACCCCGGTTTGGCACGCTTATTCGATACACTCTGCGATCAACTTCATCTTCTTCGTATGAAAAACCAAAGGGATTTCGTTCCTACTCTTTCCCCGGGATGTTCTCGTACGCCGAATTCGGAAACAAGTTGATTGTCAACACTCATGAGTTGAGGTTCTTAAAGTGGAAGGGACCGTTCAGCTTATACGCAGCTTTCCCCGATGAATCCGAAGATGAACTCGACGACATAGGCTCTCTCGATGATGACGAAGATGGATATGAACGTAAACGAAAACGTACCCGTAGAGGCATAGGCTCTTTTGATGAAGACGGAGATGGAAATGAACCTAAACGCAAACGTCTTGTCGGCGGAAGTTTTATCGGAGTATTGTAGTTGTCACAATATGGATGTATATGCGCATGGAGTTGCGATCAAAGACATCGAGAAGAACACTCCGGCAGAAAATTTGGATCATGATATAGGACTCGTGAAGAAGTACTTGGGACCGTGTGAAAAATGAGTACAAGATTCCTCCGAATTGGTGAGTCCGATGAGAATCATAAGAAAAGGGTTCAGTTGGAGAATGGTCGTTGGATGGTTGTTTGAATCTTGATGGCGTTGCTTGGCTAATATATATCAAGTATGATATAAATAAGAGCATTTAGCTAGGGTTTGGTGTTGCCCTAGCAGAGACATGTACCTGAGAGATTCAGCTACATCTTTGCCTTGCATGGGATGCAGTAAAGCACTGGTGTTTTTTCAATTATGTTTACATTTATATGCATGTCATAAACCTTGTTATGCAATGTGATAAAAGGACCTTATTTATGAGAAATTTGATGAAAAATTAGGTAAAATATAATTTTTTTATATTTAATTTATAATATTGATACTCATTGTTGAGATGGAAACAAAATCAAATATTGAGAAGGATAAAATATTTAATTTTAAAATAATAAAGACTTATTATATATTTAATCTAAAATTTTAAGTTTATAAAAATCTTATTATGTAATAAATTAGGGTTTCTTTTTTTTTTCTTCAATAAACTAAAAGGACATGCAAACCTATATTAATTGCATCACCAGATGATGATCCCCTGCCCCAACTGGAACAATAATGGGGGAAGGTGATTATTGAAAAAGATACATATCCTAGGAACTTTCCTATGATATTGACAATGATGACGAGTTAGCTTTTAGATCCATACAGTTGAAAGCAAGTTAAGCCTTTTCCATGATTTTGGTAATTAAAGAAATTTTATTCTTCGTTAGTAATTATGTATATGAATTTAGATATATGCATTTTTTTTTAAAAAGGGGTGAAGTACATAAATAGTCCCTCGACTATATGATACTATTTTGTAAGTCATTCGACTATTCAAAGTTACAAAATGATCCTCCGACTATATAAGATTACTTTGTTGAGTCCCTTGACTATTAAAAGTTACAAAATGGTCACCCGACTATTCATTATGTTCCAATCTCGTCATTTTTCATTAAAATTTTGACGGTATTCTGAGCTGAACGCTACTGACTGTGATATGATAAAATCTGATCTTAGAATCTCAAACGACTATAATATCTCAATCATCATGCCAACGCCCAACTTAGACACCGTCAATTTTTAACCAAAAATTGGAACATAATGAATAATCGAATGACCATTTTGTAACTTTTAATAAATGAGGGATTTAATAAAATAACATTATATAGTCAGATGATCATTTTATAACTTTTAATAGTCGAGAAACTTAATAAAATAATACCCTATAATCGGGGACCATTTGTACACTTTACCCTTTAAAAAAAGTATTGGTCGCAACTCATTGTAAAGTATTAGTAACAGTTTCTTTTTTGCCATTGTTTTTGTCATAGTAACGATAATAGTTTATAACCTGTTACGAATAATAAAAGATAATAAACAGTTAATGGGTAGTAAATAAAAAAGAAAATAAACTTATAAGCTCATGTGTAAAAAATTTTGAAAGAAAAAAAATACCATATTCATATGAAAATAAATTCACCATGGCCAACAGTAATAGTATATGCCATGGAGATAGGGCAATGGGCCGGGTATTGGTCCCCGTCCCCGTCTCCGTTTAAAAAATCCGTACCCGTCCACGCTTAAAAAACTGCAGGGATTTAAACGGGGATCCCCATCGGGTAATCGGGGAAAACCGCGGGGAAACGGATATACTCGTTTAATCTAAACGGTTATTTAAACGAGTATCAGGACATATATATATATATATATATAATAATAATTATTTTTAATATTTATCTGGTTGGATATCGGGGCAGGTAATCGGGTAATCAGGGTGGGGATTACCAAACCCGTCCCCGTCCCCATTTAGCATAAACAATTTTTCCCTGTCCCCGTTTAGCATAAACGATTTTTCCCCGTCCCCGTTTAATTTAGTTTTCAATTTTCCCCGTCGTGTTCGAGTTTTTTTGCCATCCCTATATGGAGATGCATAAAACACACTAATTTTAGAAAATCTTAATTACATACATACATACACCCCCGAAAGAGGGACATTGGTTTTTTTTATTCTCCTTTTTAGTATGCATTAATTTTTTATTAAAATTAAAATATCTTTTGACTCAGAAGACTAATGTCGACTTAAATTTCTTTTGGTGTAAGACTTAGATTTATTTTAATCCATATTCAAATGTATTCTCATGATATTTTACTAATACAATATTTAAGCCATCCAAATCTCATCCACTCATAAATCGAAAGATATTTATAAACACACCCGAAGCTCCTGAATCAAGTATTAAATCAATTGTAGGCTATAATAATTTATTCAAATGTCTAACCCATTGGCGTACTTATGTGTTCACCCAAGGGATTTCGCTAATGACCTCTCCACGAACTAAAAAGAAGTATCAGTTAACATGGTAAACATATAGAAGCCCTAGAAGCAACAAAAAAGGTTAATTACCATTGCTCTACGATGTCTTCAGTTCCGGCTGCAATACTCGAGTACGATATTCGCCTAATGCCCATATAGGAAAAGTGTTGCGATACGCGGAATAACTGATCATGCAATTCCGGTTGAACACTCCCATGATTTCCTGCACGTAAAGACGGTACAAATTCAGTCAAAGAACATGTGTCGTACACACCGGTGGAGTCGAAAGATTTACCTGTTGTGGGAAATCCCCATTCTCCATTTGAGAATTTATCAAATATCTAGCTCCTTTGTGCAGTGGCGTTGGATCTCTCTCGGCCTGTTTAAACATGTTCAGAATAGAAACAATGGGGCTGAAGATATTTACAAACTTCTAAATCGACAGATGTGCATCTACGGAAGCTTCGGTATCGTTCGAGCTGAATCAGTTTCCGGACTAACACATGCAGGCACATAAATTACCGAGTTCAAATAGAACAACTTTTCGTGATTTTATCGTTACAACCATGTAGGGAAGGGTCCAAGGTTTCACATTCTCAAAGAGCAACCATGATGGCATAGTCCAATCTCAACATTTAGAAGATACTGCAGTAGGAAATGGCGTTTTACCTGCCCAGCATCGATTAGAGCCAGTATAGCCCAGCCAGTGTTTACCATATGCGGTTTATTGCCCTCGATATTTGAGTAAACCTGTACATGGGAGCATTGAATTCGTTGTAAACAATATACCCAACATAATTGAGTTCCAGACGTCTATGTTTTAGAAGAAAAAGATGACAAAGATGACAAATATGTTAACTCCTATGTTAATCGGACTCGAGTGTGCATGTCGGATATGGGTATTGCCTAACACAGGTCTCTTCATTTTGTGTATTTATTTTCATGTATCTAGAGAGTCCTTGAGGTTCATATCCCCATATCCAAAACTATGTCAAATACTAGTGTCAAACACTGTACTTCAAGGGGAAAAAAAAGGAGCAACATAATGAATGGCTCATGAAGCTGAAGCAACTACTTTGGCAAACAATAGCCCAAGAAGAAAAAAAGATAGGCTCTGCCACGTGGAATTTTCAGGTTTTTTAAAAGAAAATGTCTAAAAGTAGTAATTAAAATTCTAAAAGAATTCTAAAAAACTAAAATTTTATTAAAGAATAATTAATTTCTGGAAATTTCACTTGGTAACACCATGAAATGACATGTGGCACCAACCGATTCAAAAAACTGTTAAATTTAATGGTCAATGTTGGTCCGAAGGGCGAATTGATGAAATTTCAGAGTATATAGGCTCAACTGGGGGGCTTAATTGATTTTTTTTCTTTCAAATGTTTGAACGCTTCTAACACTCTTAACCCAAAAATATATTATACAAAATTTACTCTAAATTAGAACTGAGATTATAAAATTCAGGTGTTCCGCATACGTTTTAAATTAAGAACCGTCACAAGGCAAGTTAATTAACCTAACCTTGTTCCGACAAGAGATATAACTTTCTCCCCAGCCACCTGAGAGAAGTTGTTTAGAAAGGCAACTAACCTTGTTCTGACAAGAAAGGTAACTTTCTCCCCAGCCACCTGAGGGAAGCTGTTTGGACAGCAGAAAATCGCAGGCCTTCCTGATGCTAGACGAGTTATTGAAGTTCTTTCCAGCAGCCGCCAGTCCTTTCACCCCAAACCATGTACCGTATGTGAAGCAAACACCCCATGAGCCGTACCTAGTTGGATTGGACAAGTAACTCAATTGAGTTCAAAACTAGGGAAACCGTGGAGTTGAAACATTGTAGTAGCTTTAGAAAGAAAATTCAGGGACTAATGACACCGGCAGGAGTCGAAAACAAAATTGCAATGTGCTAATCAATCTTCTAATACTTCAATATTTTAACCATACAAAGAAGTTACAGACCAACAACAAAAGCTTCTTATAAACAATGGCTTCAAAAGAGGTTAAGGCCAAACCATGAACCATCCGAGGCTTGTATATTTTCGATGTACTTGGTTGCCTCTTGGATACACTGGTCTATTTTATGTCGACGATGCCCAGGGTGTGACTTTCTAAAAGCTGTCAAAGCTTGAATTGCGGCAGACGTACATTCCACATAACTGAATATCCACCATAATTGATGTTAAACTACATACATCAGGGGGAAAAAAGAAAGAAAAACAGAAAATACAGAGTATAACTCAAATACTGGAATCTTACGGATAGTCAATAACAATATCACCAAAAGTTTCTGCAGGATTGATCAGCTGTAGACATAAAACAATATTGTAAGCTAAGATATATCTACAGCTGGCCAAGGAAGCAGGAATTGCAATAAATAACATAATATTCGCCTATGGATGGTCTTTTCTGTTTTTTCATGAAATACACACCTGAATCCTTCTTATAGTTTCAGATAATTTAGCAAGCTATTTAGTTCCAGGTTTTAGATAATTAAGGCTTGATGTTTCACAAATGTAAAATTAAGTAAAAAATTTGTTGAAAACTAGTGACATAAACGGAGAAACAAGGGATACCTCCAACCATGGGTATGATCTTGTGAGCTCATATGTTGCAAAGCCACCATCTCCATTCTGCAAAGATATGAAAACAAAATCTAATAAATATCAACAACATTCGAGCTCATTAACAACATTGATCTCGAGATAAAATTATATCATGAATGACCATATGAATTACCTGAAGTGAAAGGATAACATTTACTGCATCATATAGCCGATTTGCTTCTAATGGATCTCCAACAATCTCTGGGGATATTTTTGATAACAAAAGAACAACCTGGAGGAAGGTAAAATGTTAAGAAAACATAAGGAAAATTCTCTGAATTCAGAAAAACTTACTTTTAATCCCTCAGCAGTACAATCTGAAATGGGCCATCCATGATCTGCAGTTGAAAAAGGCCAAGCACCTTTGGAAATGTGACGATACCAAAAGTTAAGATCCCCAGGGCAATCTTCTTGAACCTTCAAAACAAATAAAAGAGCATATAAAAGGTACAAAAGCAAGCAGTCTCCCAAATGACTAAACTCCAATATTTTTCCGAAATATAAACCACCTGTGTGTTCCTTAAGTACATGTTCGCTTTCCTCAAAGTCGAACTGTACTCTTCAGTAAGGTTGGTTGAAATAATTGCTTGAACAGCAAAGGCAGTGTCCCATAGTTGACTTCCATTGTAACCCTGCAACAAGTTCAGTATGCCCACACAATAAATGGTCATTGAGATGTTTCAAAAGCAGTAAAAACGTAAAACCCAAAACATAGACACAATAACAGTGCATAGATTAGCAGAACATCATTTATAAAGCGCCAGTTATATTTTCCATATGAAATGGAAGTAACCTTCAGATATCAACAGTTCAAGATTAGCAGCAACAGCTATGCATTTAACTGATGGTCAATGGCTCAAGGCTATTATCAACTAAAATGGATGAGATGGCATACTCACCTGCATTTTCATGCCATCTTCAGCAACCCATAGATAATCATAAAGTCTTGGAAGATGCAACTTGAACGCCTCTGAATTTGGGTCTTCCACCCAACAGCAAAGCATGTTTAAAACCTATTATCAGCAAAATATATATCCCGAAGCAAAACAAATAAAATTAGACAAACAAATGACAATTACAGAATAATTGCATGGACTGCATTTGTTACAGAGTAACCACATCATATCCGTTATGACAAATATCAAAGAAAAAAATGAATATAAACTTGCATGGTAATCTGAATTCTGAAAGACTAGGACACACCAGAGAAATGCAAAAAAAAAAGCTGTATAAGAACCAAAGAAACGTGTATAACTTTTTATTTTTTTCAGATGTACGAGTTTGTTTTTCCCTGCACACCTTATTTACAGGCCCAATGCAGATGTAACGAGTATTCTCATCTTCATAGTGTATGTGCTCTATTGCAGTTTGAAGGGCCTTTTCTCTCAACTTCTTTCCAGGCCAACACATTAGGATAGGTTCAACAATCTTGTGAAGTGATCCCCAAAGAATATCCTGCACAAATGGGTGAGGATAGTACAAATCTTCCTGCAAGACAACGTGATAGGTTCTTGATGTTAAATGAAAATCTACAATAGCAGCAAGGGTGAACTGTTCAACAATCTATCGAAAATGATAACAAGAAAAACCTACGGTCCCTATGATTCTTTTTAACTGGTGGTGTCATCAGCAATGGCTAAGTCCAAAATTAGTTGTGCACTTATATTTAAGGCCATCCAACTATTGCCAATTGATTCCGGATTGAAAGCTTACCATAGAGAAGAGCTCAAGTTGGTTTTGCTCTGATTAGTGGATGGCCATTTAAAATCATTTATAGAAGTATCTACATGTTAGAGGCAGAGCATTTACATTAACTATCAATTTTACTAACCTTTGCACATGCATTTCGTGCTCGATTCCATTCTATTTCATGGTATGGAATGGTATAAAGCTCCTTCCTCAAAGCCAAAACTGTTGGTGTTATAGGGCCAACAAACCTCTTTCCATATAAATAAGACATAGGCAAATAGACCATCCGGCAGTGACACCACATCCTTCCTGTCGTTGAGGGAAAAAGAAACTAGTTGTTTTATTCTCTTCGGGAGAGAATTGGTAAGAATGCAAATTCAACGAAGTTTCTAAATTGAAATGAAGGGACAAGAACCTGGATGAAATGGGAGCATATAAGGGAGAAGCCATATCTCAGGGGGCAAGGGATTATTTCCAGACCATTCAAAGGCTCCAAGCACCTGTTGCCACCAAGAATTGCATGCAATTATTATCAAATTGATGCTATGTGAATAGCAATATCACCGAATCAGACACTAAAACCAACATAGTAAGGGTTAGGTTCTGAACTGAAAGCCACATTTTCCCCCATGATGTTATTTCAGTAGTACCACCATGGTTCAAAATCCAATCTCGTCCTTTCTCCATTGCTCCCTGCCCATCATTAGGTCTTTCACCAAGCAATCTTAAAGTGACATAAGTCAAGGCAGAACCAAACATTGTACTTGGGCCCTCAATGTGTAAGCCCCATCCACCATCTTCATTCTGCAATTGCATAAGCATAACCATAGTTCAGAAACATTAAAGCAGGAATCCAATAAGAAAAAGAAACAAAACGCTGGACACAAAAACTTGAGGAGGTAGTAAACTAGCTAAAAGAGCAACATAAAAGACATTTGAATTGCCTGATGATTGTAGAGGTAGCGAATCATCTCCTTCTTATGTTCTTCTGATAAGACTGCATTCAATGCCCCAGTAATAGACAGAGTAATTACCTGATGCCATTACATGAACAAAACAAAATTATTTATCAAGACTACATAATGATTTTTTCAAAATTATAAGTCATTTTCATAATAAGATTTGATATGGTAAAAGGAAAACTTTAGCCCACCAATGTAAGACAATATAAGTCAAACTGATGTTATCAGGAACACTTTAATTAAAAAAATCAGCACTTACCAAGCCAGGCATAAGAAACATGGGACCTCCATAATCACCTGGCCAATGCCCATCATGGGCCTGGAGAGATGAATGAAAATTTATAGCTCTTCGTAACGTATTTGTGACCATCCCTTCCGTTACATTTTCTGATTCCTCAATTTTTACCTGAGGCAAAACCTCAGATACTGGGTTTTTCTTGGAAAACTGTATTATGAAGGGGAAAGATATCAAATGAAAAAAAATGAATAACTGAAGAAAATTATGCATAATTTGTTAAGAAAAAAAAGGATGAAATATTAACAATCCAAATAACAGTACAGAATCAGGAGAGCTATGAAAAGTTTCTACCCTAAAACTGAAAGGAAAAGACATAGGTGGCAGGATTCAAATCGCGGTTGCGTTTTTGGAGGGCACCGCTACCCTATATCGCGGGCATAGCTGGCGCTATTGCGGCGATTGCGGGTGTCGCGGTCAAATAATAGCGTTTTCGGAGGGCACCGCTACCGCTATATCGCGGACCGCTATTTAAATCCCTTGGTGATATTTAAAGAATAAAATTGCATTAACTGCATCACTCATAAAGAAAAATGCTACCAAAAGATCCCATTATGTAGTATAATCTGTGGAGAAAATGACTGCGGTAATAAATTTTATCCTATCCGGCAGTTAAAAAAATATCATCAGCTTGAAATACTCAATCGCTTTTGGAGAATTGGACTCCATGTAATTATATCAGAGCTTTTTTACTGTTCTCAAACAAGCAGTCTATCCATTTCCCATAAAATTTCTCCAGCCCCAGAAGCTCGAGTGAAATACTCAATCGCTACTAGCAGCAAATCTTAAGTTCAAACATACTGATAACCAATTGCCAAGACCTGAAGCTAGCTGGCTATGCAAAAACTATTTTGAACAAGTGATAGGTTATCAATATTTAGGAGGAATTGCGCTGTGCCGTTTGCAACATCAAAGGGAAGGCGCTGATAGCAGTCGTAAGCAGGCTGCTGGGAAGGGTTAAAGAGACGGTGATCTTAACAAAATCAAAGCAGACACTACTAACACTGCACTTTGTAACATTTTGCTTAGATTGCTTGGTAATTGTTCATTGACTGATGCTTGGTAGTACTTCGACTGCTTATGTACAAGATTAAGAAACAACTATCACAATAACAGTTATCACCCCAAAATCCAAATACAGTAAAAAGAAAAAAGCAAGTGGAGCAAAGAATGAGAAACGGCGGGATTTCAATCGTACTACCTAACACTAACATGCTAACACATCACTATTATTGTCTTATCTGAATTAAAGAAAAATGGAACGCAATGAGAAATGCATAAGAGAAAACGAAGAATGTGTATCAAAATACCTGGAACCGCATAAGCAGATCTGAGCTGTGCTTCTTTTTCAATCGATTGCTGGTGAAGTTGAGGCGAGCTTTCTCGATCTCCATCAACTCCTCCGGCGATTCAACGTCGGGATCGAACTCCCAAGTCTGTCTCCCCACGTGATTGTTCACGGTCCTCAGCCATGGATTCCCTCCCTCGGCGATTTTCAGTTTCCACATTTTCGATTCTCCGGCACCTGTATAAAACCTAGTCGGAATACAAATAAAAATTTAAGCAGCGTTGAGCAGATTAGCAGAGAAGGCCAAATTTCATGCAGTCGAGGTTTTCAACAGAAATGAGCACTGCGCAGTCTAAGAAGACAGTTATTAACTTATTATGTATTTATATAGTAAATAATATTCAAAATTCAAAAAGATTTTAATAGAGAGAGAGAGAGAAAGAGAGACGTGTCGTCGTAGTTTTCGTCTGCTGTTGCGCTGTAATCGAACTCAAATCACATGACTTTAAATAAATGTTTTAGGGTAAATTATAAATTTAATCATTCAACTTTCTCCTAGCTCTTATTTTCTTTTATAGAATTAAAAAAATTAACTTATTTATTAAAATTTCAATTTATTTCTATTTTGATCACTTGAGTATTTAATTATAAATGAAAGTGTGACATGACCGATGCATGTACTGATGTAAATTATTTTTATTGATTTAAAATTCATGTGACATCTATCATTTTTTTAATTTTAACTTTTTAAAAGGTAAGAGTTTTTAAATTTTATCCTAATGTCACGTTGATGTTAAAATTATCATTCTCTGACTTTCTCTCTAACCATTAAAGATAACTCACCTCATTATCTCGTATCACGCTATCACTTTAGATTTTATCTAAATCGCTTAAGAACTCATAAAACTCTACACTCAAAATTTGTGAAACTCCAAATAACTTTGGTTTGTAATATCCACCTTTAATAAGAGTGAAATCAAGATATACAACTCATGTTCTCTTTCTTCACTTCCACGTCGTTGTGGTTTGAAAAAAAAGATACTTTACCGTTGAGAAACCAAAAGAAATTTAAAATTAGAGATTTTTCTCAAAAAAATAAAAAAAAATTGGGATCATTTCGCAGTTTTTTAAAATAAAAATGTTTAATCATTACACCGATAAGTGTTTAATGAAAAAAAGATTAAAATATGAATAAAATAAAAGTTTAGTAAGAAAATTAAAAACTTTTAAATACTTCTAACTAAATAATCACCATAATTTAATAAAAAAAATTAATCCCAAAACATGTACATGGTAAAAAATAAAAGAACTTAAAACTTGAAGAAACTCTTCAATGGAGAATAACAACTGTTTTAATAGAAGATCTAGAAATAGTTAAGGAATGAAATATTAAATATCCATTTTGAACTAAAAAAAAGCAAGTACTTAGAAACGGTGTAATTTAAATATTTATTTTGAAATAAGATAATTTTCATAATTATTATTTAAATGAGTAATAGTTGTTAATTTTATTGGAAAAATACAATAAAATTACGAGAAAAAATAAACTCAGATTTAGAGAGATTTTTTTAAAGTTTGATTATCGATTAATTCAGTTCGAAATCAATTAATTAATCAAATTACTAATTTTTTTTAAATATTTAATATATTATTTATATATTAGTTAGATTTAAGAGCGTTTAAATTTTGGATTTAACTGAATTAACCAATTAAATTAACTTAAAATATTAAATATATATTATTTAACATTTTAATTAATTCGGTTAACCGATATAATTAATCTAATTTTGTTCGATTCGATCAAAAAAATTTAAATTTTTAAATTCGATTAACGATTTAAGCTAAAAAAAATTCGATTAATGAATTTTAATTAATTCGATTCAATTGGTCAACCGAACCAACCACGTATCTCTAATTGTAACAATCCTTTCAAGTCAATGGTATATGACGAATTATTGCCGCCACAAAAACCACCGTGACTGTTGCCGCCATAAAAACCAAACCACCGTGAAAGCGATTGAAAACAAGATGAAATGAAGGAAACAAGGGGTTCAGTCAGATAATATTGGAAACCGCGACAGAATTGTTTTATGTATATTTTATTAGTTTTTTAATCTCCAAATTCACAAACTCTTGGCCTAGTCAAGAGGGATTTTGTGCATGCATCGAAAGCAGAAAGAGAAAGGGCCGGCACTCCGATTGTTTATTTTATTATTGGGTAAAGTACACCAGGAGTTCATAAATTATGATAAAATGATCATTTTTGCCACTAATTTTTCAAAAGTTACAATATAATAATCAATTTATCAGTTTACTACAAAATGTCACCGTGATATTTTATGATAATAAGTTTTGATAAATTTAATGATCATTTTGTAACAGTTTGATAAATTTAATAATCAATTTTGTAACAGTTTCGATCTAATTAACATAAATATAAATATATTTTTCATTTTCATTAAGATCAAATCGAGTCTTTTTCATCATAAACCCAATCTCATCATTCAAAAAGTCTAACCCAAACTCAAACTTTCATAAGAATAAATAAATAAGCAAACTTATAGGGTCATGCCAGAATCCTTTAGGTTCATATTAAACGTCCATCCCTATGTCACTGTTATCATTTTATAATAATTTGATAAACATAATGATCATTTTATGATTATTGAAAGTTTTGTGACAAAAAATTATTTGAGTAAGTTTAGAGACCTCCTGTGTAATTTACCCTTTATCACTTACAACACCAAATGAAGACACAAAATCTGCAATTTTCAGAATATTCGTAAATAACACAAGCAGTCGTTTAAATCAATGCAAAAACATTGCTTCTTGTTAGCTGTCACCTTTAACTTTTTTCAAGGTTTGGATCATTAACAATAAGTTAAGTAATAAGATGGCAAAGTCGAGGCCAAACCCAACTTCATTCAGTCTTCACCACCATTAATCCACGTCGAAATCAATGAAGCGTTCTTCACAAGGTCACAGGCAAGATCATCTGAACTTCTGTTTCTGTGAAATTCAAAATCGCGATAAGAAAATGACCCATTGTTTTTTGGATTTTGATTTGTAAAAATGACAGGTACTAGCAGAATTTAAATAGTTCTCGTTTCTTATTCCCGCCATGATCAGAGCTCGATGAACGGTATAATAATCGAAAACTTGGGTTTCGGTGTATGATGAAGACTTCTTCCTTGTTCTTTTTCTTCGGAGGAGTTGTTGTGCTGATTATATTGTTGATTATCGTGTTAATCTATTGGAAAATTTGGAGACCGAAGGGTATCAAGGGTATTATATCGGAGAGAAAAAGGCATGCAGGTAACGTGTTTGATGAATTGTTTCACTGGGAGTGTTGTTGGTTTGTGAAGTTGATTCATGTGTCGTTTGCAGCATCGACGGATTTCTTTAGCGGCGATCTTCGAAGTATGTTCTATTTTGACTTCCGGACATTGAAGAGGGCAACCAAGAATTTTCACCCTGATAATTTCCTTGGCAGAGGTGGATTTGGACCTGTTTACAAAGTAAGCAAACTTATATATATATATATATATATATTATCTAAATCTAATCTATTTCGAGTTTAAGGAGGGTTCATCCTACCTGAAACTCAACCTAAATTGTGAGAAAAAACCTGCATCTATCTCAATCCGATACAATATAAAAAAAATTATTTTTATTTGACAAAATAGGGATCTAATTGGAAAATATTATAGAGAGGGATATTATATTAGTTATCGCTAAATATATAAAATAAAATTATACAATTATCCCAGGTCAAATCGGGTCAGATTTTTCATCTTAAACACGAACTCGACCTCAACCTAAACCCATTTTTCTACTAAAAAAATTAACTCTATAAGATCAAATCGAAACTCGTTGATTTCAGATAAAATAATCATCTCTAATGATATATCTTTGAATTTAGTATAAATTAATTAATGCATTATATATGATTTTTTGTTTAAATAATATATGATGATTATAAGATAATAATTATTCAAAATTTTCTTAAGTTATTGACATCACGCATATATAATGTAGACACATATGTTCGAACTTAGAACTTCTAAAAAGAATAATATTTTCTTTTATCACTTAAATCACTTTATGAGTTCCAATTGTATATGGTTCCTAATTATATAAAAAGCTTAGAAATAATTAATCATACCTATATCTAACATATAGTGCGTTACATACAATGATGGATTTTAGCAAAAATAAAATAAAATTGGGGACTTAAACTTTTTAAAATTTTAAAAGTATAAATTATTTTTTTTATAAAATTTGAGGTTGACGATAATTTAAAAAATTTAAGGTTTTTTTTTATTAAATTAAGGGGACTTAATTAAAAATGTTCAAAAAAGGTAAAACTTAATGATAATTTCAAAAGTGTTGAAGGGGTCAAATTAAAATTTTAGAAATTTTGAAAGGCCAAATGTTAATGTTTTAAAATTAAGGGAAGGGCCACCCTGGGCCCATCCATTATCTCGTCCGTCTTGGTTTGCATATTCGAGGACAGAGACGGCTATAGGGGCTGGCAGGAATTTTGGTCCCAAAATGTTTAAATTATTCTTTAGTCCCTTTAGAAATTGTAACGTTTTAAAAGTACATTAGTAAAATTATATATTTATCCCCAAAATGATAATTTTATGTTTTACTCTATTCAGAAATCAATGGATAATGTAAGTTATATTATATCTTTGATTAAAGTACACCAAAATAATCTTTTGGACAACCAACTTTCAAATCTAATCATTAAACTTCACAAACGATTATAAAATATCATAAAATTTATCAAATTATTATAAGATGGTCATTAATTTTATTTAACTATGTCTTGAGATGCATTTTGAATTGATATTAAAAACAATAAGGATTTTGCCTGAACTTTTTGTTGTTTTGATGTTTTTGGATAGGGAAAGCTAAGAGATGGAAGAATGATTGCTGTGAAAAGACTGTCACATGAGAGATCCCAACGAGGAGAGTCGGAGTTTCTGTCGGAGGTGAGGTTGATCACAAGCATCCAACACAAGAACCTGGTTCGCCTCCTCGGATGTTGCTCCGACGGCTCTCAACGTTTACTTGTCTATGAGTTTATGAAGAATGGCAGCTTGGACCACATTGTATATGGTATATACAACTCACCCCATTCTTCTCCTACAACTCATATGTATACATATATGTATGTGTATATAAACATGGATCAATGATTCATTTTACTCGTACTAGATGAAGGAACAAGCTGCCCTTTTCGGAAGATAGAATGTTATATAGCTAGGGATGGCAAAAAAATATTTACCCGACTGATTTTGATCTGATCCAATAAGATCAAACTTTTTTTTATATATAAGATTTGGGTTTCGAGTTGGATCAGATTCATGTTTAGGAAAAACCCATACTGTTCTAGGATAATCACAAAAAAAAAAACACTTCTTTGAAATGTGTCTTGTCTTGTAACCCAAACTCTGTAATGAACTTGAGAATACTTTCTTTTTTATCTACTTTGAAGTGTGTTTTGTCTTGTGAATTGACGCAGGAACAAAGGAAGTATTCTTGAACTGGGAGACTAGGTTTCAGATCATTTTGGGTGTAGCACGAGGGCTTCAGTACCTACACGAGGACTCGCATATGAGGATTGTTCATAGGGATATCAAAGCAAGCAACATTCTTCTTGATGACAAGTTCCAACCCAGGATCGGTGATTTTGGGCTGGCTAGGTTCTTCCCCGAAGATGAAGCTTATCTTAGCACCAACTTTGCTGGCACTTTGTAAGCTTCTCCTCTCTTCCCTTACATTCTTCTATCAATAACTCATGTTTAAGCGGTAGTGATCAATTCGATTTAAAAAAAATTTGACTCGACTCAATTCAATTGAATATTCACCTCTAATAGTCCACGTAAACACGTTCATAATGATGATGAAATGATTTGTTTTTGGTGTTTGGTTTTGTTGAAGGGGTTATACGGCTCCGGAGTATGCCATTAGAGGAGAATTGTCTGAAAAAGCCGACATTTATAGCTTTGGAGTTCTTGTTCTTGAAATCGTTAGCTGCAGGAAGAATACTGATCTTACCCTGCTTTCCGAGATGCAGTATCTACCTGAATATGTGAGCAATTTCAATTTTGGTAACTTTTAATATTTCTTTATAATACAGATTAAATTTTAAATATAAGACATTAGATTCCTTGAAAAAAACATTTAGGGTTCAAATATATAACTTGAGAGACAAGTCGATAACTCTATGTCGATCAACGTTCAACAAAAGAGAGTTTCTCACCCATTCTCGGGGTCCTTTTTTATTTCTATCCTGAGATCATTCTTTTGTTCTCCATGAACTTTCAGGGCTTTCGAATCTATTACCATCTTAGCTAATAAACTATCATCTCTCTCTTTGTAACCCAATGAGACTATCAACTGAAAATTTGATATCAAAGCCTCTACTATTCTATCTATGATTCAGCCATTATCATGCATGCATGTATCTTGATTACATATTAATTATTATTGTTTTTTATACTAGCTAGGCATGGAAGTTGTATGAGCGAGGCTGTATGCTTGATTTAGTTGATCCAAGACTAAGACAACATGGATCGTTGGTGGAGAAAGATGTGGTACGGGTTATCAATGTAGCCTTCTTTTGCCTTCAGCTTCACCCGAACTTTAGACCGCCGATGTCCGAGATAGTAACCATGTTAACCTGCACCCCAGAAATGGTTGGAACACCCTCCAGACCCGCCTTCTTCAACCGAATCCGACGTAACAAGAACAACGATATTCTGTCGTCGTTGTCTTGGGACACTATGACCGACGCTTTCCCTTCGGTCCAGACTGAGTCCACTCCATCTCAGGTTCACAATTAGATGCCTCATTGGAATCACTTTCATTATAGCTCAAGGAACCTTAGGTTTGTTTTCTATTTGTGTGAATTTTTTAAGATAAAGAGGGATATATCAATCAATATTGATATGAAATCTCTAGAATTTCATATTTATAACCGTTTAAAAGATTGTTGCATCAAACAAATAATTATACATTTTTAATTTACTCAAAACTTGGCTCACAATATCTAAATGTAACTCGCAAAAATCGAAAATCTCTATGATGTAAATAAATAAGCATGTTAATGACAAACCAAAATCACATGCATCCTCTTCTATCTACAATTCCAGCCAAGTATGTTAGTTTAGGGGTGAAATCGTACCCGTTTTGGAGGGAACTCTGGATTTGATACACCTTACAAAATAGTTGCACATTGAGCACTTCAGAATTGTGAATTGCTGAGGAAGGTAACCATGCATCTTGTTTGTTGAAACATCGTATCGATCTTCTGCCATACTTCCGATTGGATTTCAAGGAGCTTCTTTGCCTTGTCTTGTAACTTCGGACAGAGGCGTATTGTTTCACCATGTATCTGAAGAAAGACATTTCATCAACGGAAAGTCAACATAAGAGCTCTTGCAAAATAGCACTAGCAAAACCAGAATATAAGAGAAGATGCATCACCCAATTGTCAATCAAACTAGCATTGAATATATTAATCAGGGAAACCTACGTTAAGCACTTTGAGCTCTTCTGCTATCAGAATTTCAGTAAATTTGGTGACTGGTTTTGGATTATTCATAGTTATGGTCATTCCAGATGCGAATCATTTGTTATTTGGGTCATCTTCGAGTTATATTAGGCAAGTTCGGGTTGTTGACTTTATATGGCCAAATTCTGTTGGATTGAGTTCATGTTTTGTGTAATTGGTTGTGGGTCAGAACTGGGACATCTACAAACCCAAAGGTCTATCGTAAAAGTAAAATAAAAATGAAATTCTTTTAAGTTAAGAAAACAATACCTTCATAAATAACCTGATAACAGCTTGTATGAACTCAAAATTGTTCCTGGAGGAGATCTCATAAACAAAATAATCCAATAACAGTTCGATTGATATCATCTCAGGTTTCCGATCAAGCTCTTCGAGATTCTCATCGTCAATGATCTGAAGCATCCAAAGCTCCATGTCCAAAGCCGAAGGAGACAAGCCTTTAATATAATCAGTAAATGCTAGAACTGCAACATGTTAAGGGTACACAATTATCAGTTGCAAAGAAGTTTACCAAGGATATTCGATAAATTTCAAGTGGAACTTACAATTTTTCATCTCCGCAGAGGACTGGAGACGGTGCAAAAATGCGGATGGTGGCATCTCAAGCTTCCTATCATTCTTTTCCTCTTCATTGCCTTTTGCATCATTATGCCCATTAGCTTCACTAGGCGTAAATAATCTCTCTCCAGAAAGAGATGGAGCTGAAGGCAGGAAGAAAGGAGCCTTCTCAGGTTTCTTGGGAGGCTCGATTGGTCTATTGCGAACCTGCAATTATAATGCAACTATGGAATCAATCTCTGCAGAAGCCCTACCTAAACTATACATAAAGCCAAAATAGAATGAACATATTTATGTCCGGTACCAAACTACATGAAATAAAGAAAGAGTAAAGAGAGACCTTTATAATGTCTAAATTGATCAAGCTTTGCCATTGGCTTTTGGGCAATAGTGAGAGAGTAACTAGTTCTGGTATCTGCTTTATCAATGTTGCAGAGACAGAAGCATCTATATAAACTGAGTTGTCTGTAATGGGTTCATCAGAATCCTCAGTCTGAGATCCATCCATAGATGAGATGGATGGTAAGCTGACATTTACAACTTCCTTTCCGCTTGCAAAAGAATCCACATTTACAACTATGAGGATGGTAAGGACTATATCGGTGGCAGTGGTCATGGCCGATTTTAGAGATTTTTTATAATTAAAGAGAAATTAGTATATTTTTTTTTATAAATATAATATTATTTTTAATATTTTTAAAAAAGTAAATTTCAAAATACTATATTGCGCACATGTCATTTAATGGAAGAAATTAACGTTGTTGATATCCCGAACACCTAAAATAGTAACGTTTACAACGTTAGGCACCGGGATTGGTAAAAAAATATTTTATGCACCTATTTGTGAAAATGGGTATAGTTTGGACACTTATGTCATATTTAAGCCTTTTTTAACTTGATTCGATTTTATAATTAGATCAACTGCACCAGGTACCACCGAACTTTAGGCGATGCATCGTTTATACCATTAAACTTTTAATTTGGCCAATTATAGCACTGAACTTTGATTTTGGTTTCAATTATACAACTATGTCGTTAAATAATTAAAAACGGATCAAAACATCATTTTGGTGAGGTGTCTTCGTCAACATTCTTCAGCCACGTCATCGTTCCATTAACGATTTAATGATTCAGTGGTATAATTGAAACGAAAATCAAAGCTTAGTGCTCTAATTGGAAAATTTAAAGTTCAATGGTATAAACGATATAAAGCCTAAAGCTCGATGATATCTGTTGTAGTTTACCCTTAATTTTGCTTTAATTTCATTTTAAATTTGATTTTGTAAGGAGATTAACATTTGATATTTTAATTTAACTAACAAATTGCATGGAATGTTTTATATGTACTGTGTTATCATGTACTCGTTTATATTTGATGTTTAAAATTTTGGTTATCTAATTGAGTTTTCTTTAGAGATGATTCTATTATGTATAGACTTAACAAAAAAAATATGAAATCGGTCGAATATTACATCGTTATGAAAGTCGCATTAATTGAAAAAATGTGTTAAAACATCATTCAAGTTGTTTCCTTAATGCACTGAAAATTTTCTTTTTTAATTATCGGTATTTAATTCACTGATAGAACAATTCGAATCAAAATATATAAATATTCATTATAACAACAATCCATAAATACATATATGTGTAATAAAACAACTCCTCCCTGTTTATTAAAATGGGTAAACTATATTAGATACCACTGAACTTTAGATGTTGTATCGTTTATACCACTGAACTTTCAATTTTGTAAATTATAACACTGAACTTTGATTTTTCTTTCAATTATATCACTGAACTGTTAAATGGTTAACGAAACGATGATGTGATTGACAGTTGTCAACATAGACACTTCACCAAAATGATATCGTTTTGATATGACTGTTAACAATTTGACGGCCTAGTGATATAATTGAAATGAAAACTAAAATTCAATGCTATATTGACAAAATTAAAAGTTCAATGGTACTAATGATACAACTACTAAAGTTAAAGAGGCATGAACGTCTAAAATTGCTTCCAAAGAGACTGAAGAAGCTGAATCTTGACTTGATTCAGAGCTAGTTTCTTCTGGTTCTCCTTCTTCGGATCCAGTTGGCGAATATGTGTTGTAAACCTCTCTCGACCGTTCGAACGAGCCACCACGGTCTTCCGGTGACGAAAACAATGTAGCCTGTGCTCAGTCCTAGCACCACTCCGCTTCCGTACCCCATCATTACAACTTTCCAGAAAAAGGGTACTTCAGAACCTTCATGTTCAGTCGCCAATGGTGCCGGTGGTTCGGCCACCCCACGGTTGCCGCATTGCCTAGACAACGGTAAGCCACACAATCCCGAGTTATCGCTGTAGGAATCATTATCAAAGGTGCCGAATTGATTCCCCTGGGGAATTGATCCAACAAGATTGTTGCTCGAAAGATTCAACACTGCAAGAAATGTCAAATTTGTCATCTGAGAAGGAATCCTGCCATTGAGCTTGTTTGACGAAAGATCTAATGATTCGAGTGCCACCATATTTCCGAACGATGCCGGGATCGGACCGGTGAAGTTGTTGCGAGAGAAGTTGAGCATTTGAAGGGAAATAAGTTGTCCAACTTCCTCCGGAATTCGTCCACGGAATCGGTTGTACGACAAGTCCATGGATACGAAAATGTCTAGCGTCTTCGTCAGTTCCATCTCCAATCTTTTCGTTGTTACATTCACGGAAATGTGGTAATCCCTAATGCCGACTAAATGAAGGCCGAGGCGGTAAACTAACGGTTGCAGACGTGTCTCCATAGGTTTCACTGTCATTGCTCTCAAATTTCGGAAAAGTTTTGAGGGCAAGGTGCCGGTGAACTCGTTTCCAGAGAGATCGATCATTCGCAATGCGGAGAAGTCAAATGAAGCTGCGGAATGAGTCAGTGGTCCATAAAATCTATTAGATCTCAATATAAGAACTTGCAGACTTGGGAGTGAAGCTAACCAATGGGGAAACTTATCAGCCAAGTTATTGTTTCCTAAGTTCAAAAGCTGCAATGACTTGGAATTGGCCAAAGATGGTGGTACTAGTCCTTCAAATTGATTGTTATTAAGAAAAAGATGAGTCAAGGAATTATTCACAAAAGAATCCGGGATCTTTCCGCCGAAGTTGTTCATTTGCAAATCGACGAACGCAAGCGAGTTGCTGAAGTTCCCAAGACATTCGGGTATAGTTCCATTCAAGTTGTTCCTGGACAAGTCGAGAACTGTGAGTTCACTCCAATTGCAGATTGAAGAAGGGATATTTCCTGTCAAATTATTCCCTGAGATTAAGAACTCGTTGAACAACTGCTGATTCGGAGTTCGAAGATTCAAGCAAGTCGAGAGAATCGGGCCTTGAAGCATGTTCGAACGAAGGTCAAGTATGCCTAATTTCTTTCCCGGAAACTGCTCCAAAGTGGTCAGCAAGTTATAAGAAAGGTTCAGCACAACCAGTTCTTCCCACCCTTGAGCCTCCCATTTGGAAATTCCACCGGAAATCATGTTATTGGAGAGATCTAGATACTCCAACTTCGATGTTCGAAAGAAACTCGGGAACTGCCGTATGCTACAAGACGAGAATGCCACGGTTGCAATCCGAGGGGAGGAATGGTTCGCATCTTTGCTGCTTGTGCCCAATGATAGTAAACTATTATTGGAAAGATCAAGAACTTCAAGACTCGAGAATTTCGAAAGCATACCGGGCACGATTACACCACTCAAGTTGTTTGATGACAATCGAAGTTCTTTAAGGTGCACGGCACTGAAAACAGAATCAGGTACTGGACCACTCAAGTTGCAGGAAGACAATCCCAAATATGTTAGCTTGCCAAGGTTACGAAAAATATCCGGAATCCGTCCTCGAAGATGATTTCCAGATAGATCCATGGACTTGAGTCGACTGAGATTTCCGAATGATGGTGGAATTAACCCTCTAAAACCACAATGGGAAAGGTCCAACAACTCAAGGCCACTACTCCAATTTGTCATAGGGAGATAACTTCTAAGATCTTCATTCCCACCTAACCCTATACCTTTGAGGTTCGGAAACTGAAAAAATGGAGTCGGAAACTCCCCATGCAACCGACAGTCTCCGAGACTCAAATGTCTTAACGACGAAGACAAGTTTAGAAACGAAGAAACCGCAACACCGGACATGTCGACGGAGTCGAGCATAAGGTTTCTCAATCTGGTCAAGTTTCTTACAAGCATCTCAAAACCTTGTGCATCAAGTATCAAACTGGAAACAGGATCAGAGAAACTATTATACGAGAGATCAAGATGGGTTAAACTCACCAACCGAGCAAACAATTCGGGCGAGATAGCGCCTTCGAAATTGTTGTATGCAACGTCGAGTCGTCGGAGTCGACGCAAGCGAAACAGGCTGCTGGTGTTGCCAAGAGGCTGCTGTTAGCAAGGAGAGAACCGTTAAGGCAACTGCTGCTGAGATCGATGCCGATTACGTGACCGGTCCGGTTGTCGCATTCGACCCCCGGCCATGAACAACAATCAGTGCTTTTGTTCCATGACTCTGTCTTTGGGTAGAAAAAAGGGTAAAATTCCGTACAGAGAATATCATTTATATTAATGGCGTTTTTAAATTGTAGCAAAGCATCTCTTTGGTTAGGAAGACAGAGAGAAGAGGATGGAGGAGAAACAGAGGAAGAGAAACTCCATGAAAGTTGCAGCAACACCAATAGCAGGCAAAGCCTTCCCATTTTTTTTCTCGAGAAACAAACAACAAAGTCAAGGAACGTTATGGTGAGAGCATCTGAGCATGCATATATTTAAATTTCCTATATATTTTTATACCTGTTTCAAGTCAACTAAGTCTCCTTTCTTCCACTATTTTATTCAATGCATTTCAGAATAATTTATTCAATGTGAAAACCATCACAATAAAGAAAATTATATTAGAACGATCATTTTCATAATGATTTTTATAGTATCAAACCATATAATATAATCAAATACAATAAAACGTTAATCTTATAAGTAAGATCATACATATGTGTGAGTTGGGAATGACTAAATTTTTTTTTGACCAGATAATATTATAATCATTTTACACTATTTAAAAAAAATAAAAGTTTAAATTTTAATATAATGAATGAAAATTTTTAAATTAAAAAAAGTAATCTTATAAATAAGATTAGATAATAATAATTAATTTAAATTAATTGATTAAATATATCAACTCTAGATTTTTCAAATAAATTAAGCTTACGTACTGCTAAATTTTATCCATGAGTTAGTTGGATGGGACTAATTTATGTATATATATATATATAGGTAAAAGAAGCAAAATAATTTAGACATTTTTTAAATTGAATTAGGTTGGGATTATTTTAGATTTATATTTGTCCTTTTCTACCTACTCTTTGTTTACTTTTACCAATCTTTTTACTCAGTTTCATACTTAGACACCGACTGAATTCTAAAATATATACAAATCATACGACAACCAATTTTGTATTAATTATAAAACTAACCTAACAACGAAACAAGAAATAAAAAAATTTAAAAAAATTGATTTTTTTCCATTAATTTAAAAGTAAATATATGATAATATTGATTCTAAAGACTTAATTCATTTGACAAAGAATAATTAATACTTAGATAAGTTAATTTTAATCAAAAGCAAATTTTACCCCCCAAAATTGATGTCATCCAAAACTAAAATAAAAGAAATGAGAATAGTAAATTAAAAACTTGAAGGAATAAAATGTACAAACATGTCGACACATATTTGCTCGACCTCGAGCCGATCACAATGGTGACACTTATAAACCTTATCTTCAATCACTTAATGAGTGGATATCTAGAATGTTATATTTATGAGTGGATGTTTAGAATATTATATTTAAACATTTAAAGAAACTCATATATATAAACAACATATAAAACTAATTATGAACGACCATGCAAAGAAAACACAACAAAGAAACGTAGAAGACTGAGTTTAAGTTGGGAAGAATTACAGGCAAAACAATACTATCCCAGCATATGGCACATTTAAGCCATATACCAGCGGAGCACTTTGCCTCCTCAACAGAGAATTCCATGTTAAGCAGATGACATGATAAAGTTTTAATCAAGCAAAAGACGATCCGTCACTACCGATCTTTGAGTTCCTGCTCAAACTGAAGCAATTTCTCCCGGACAGGCTGCAAAAACAGCTTCTTCAAATCCCGGACAATCTGCTGCTTGTCTTGCTGCACGAATTCTTTCTCTTCACTGAGCTTCACTTCCATCTATGGTTATGCAAAATGAGATACATAAAGAACATTTTAGTCGGCTTTAGTTGCCTATGCCAAACTCTCATTACGGTTCTAAAAGTCGATACGTTACAAAGACCTTGTGCGAGGTTATGGAAATAATTACCCTCCCTAGGGTTTAGAGTGTTCTTCCCTTAACCTAGATCTACAAATCATGTATCATTATGGTTTTCCAGTTATGTTATGCCATAATCGAGGTATATTTCTATGAATTTTTTCATGTTAACGATTCATATTGTATAGCTTCTGTGCATTCAAGAAGTTTATCCTACTATCTCTTTGACACCAAATAGAGATTATTAGCGCACTCAACTCGATCATACCTGCAAGTCATCGAGCTCGCCAAATGAGAATTCTGGGATATCAATATGTCCCTTAACATTTTTCTTCTCCTCCTGTATATGCCACTCGCCTGATATCGATTGAAGTCCCAAATTTGATCAGCAAAATTATAAAATAAGCTTCAGAAGTAAAGGATAACACCACATTTCTATGTTACTAGGACTCGGGAGCAAGTATCGGGCATGGGTATGATTAGATTTGTCTAAGTTTCTTTGAAGAATCCTTGGAGGTCATATCCTCCACTTAATGAAAAATGATGAGTCCGACCCAACTTACCTTTGACTTTTAATGTCAACTCATACGTATAACCTACTCGCTTCTTGTTTCTTACAGTCACCAAAAATGCCTGCACAATCAGGAATATTCACCAGGAAATAAGATTAGTCTATACACGAACAGCCATCGGTGCAGTTTAGTTAAACTACAACAATGGTGTGAAATAACAGTGAGACCAAAAATAACAAATGAAAGATAGAAACACTGACATCGCCAACACATTTGGATACATCAGAAATCTCGGCCTTGCCATGAGGCAAGTCCAATGTGCCCACAGATTTAAGCAATTCCTGGAAAACAAAATTGGTTTTTCAGTTCATTTGAAGCTTTAAATATGCATATACAAGCACGCACAAATTATATATAAAAGAAAGCAGAGTTTTGTATAAAGACTAGGGGGTGCTTATCTAGAGAGTTCGGCAGTGCTCGACTCGTGCTCGTAAAAATATTTTGCTGCTCGACTTAACTCGTTGCTCGTAAACTTGTTAAAATTGTGCTCGACTCGTGCTCATTAAAACAAGTTGTTGCTCAACTCGACTCGTTCATTAAGCTCACTAAAAAATTTACCTTATTTTTTTTAACTAAAAATAAAACTTACTAATACTATACGAGGATATTAGGGTTGGATTTTTTTGTAATTAAAATAATTTTATTAATTAATAATATTTTATTATTTACTAAAAAATAATATATTAGTTAAATTATTATTATTTATTATTTATTAATAAAAATTATTATTTAGATTTATTTTTTGAATGAAATAATTTTGAAGTAATTACTAAAAATATATTTAAAAAAATTAACGAGCTGTTCACGAACTTATCGAGTCGAGTTCGAGCACGAGTCAAGTCAACTCGAGTCGAGCGTTTACCAAATTTTGACTGAGTCGAGTTTAAGCTGCTCAGCTCGTAAAGCACCCTATTAAAGACCTTTAATCTTTGGGTAGCCCAGCTATTAAGGTTTTTCTCCTCCCAAGTTCCTGCCTGCGAGTAACAAGAAGCAAACATTAAAAAAGGTTGTCGAAATACACCAAATTATCAGAATGCCCAGGAAGGGATCGAGTGGGTGCTGATAGGGCAGTTAAATCCTTGAAAAGTTCAAATTCTCATATAATTTAGGTACTTTCTTTGTATTTGTATTTTCTTTTAATGATCTAATTCAGCACCCCTAAAACATTTATAATTTCACTAACAAAAATTCAACATAAAAATATGTATCCGTCCATGAGAATACTCATTACTAAAACGATAGATCACAATGTCTAAGCTACATAAAATGCCCCCTAAATCCCCTAAATCTGAGGCTATTAGGTGCACGAACCTACATTTTCTCCATGATATTACAACCGCAACAATGACAACCGAACTAAAACTCCGTCAGCTAGATCAGATCATGTTTAAACATGGAAACACAAATAAAATTAATAAAACGAAATAAAGAAAAGGGGAATAAATACCCGATTCCAAACAGAACCAAGTGTTGCGGTCGGAGATTGGCTCGAAACTAAGTCTTGAGCGGTGACCTTCTTCGGAAGAGGGAGGGGAGCGGCGTCCGCCGTCGCTTCTCGGACCCAATAAGTATACGACGCTGCTGCGGCTGTTCGTCCATTGCCATTTCCGTCGTTATGGCCCTTCTCCGATCCTCCATTCTCCATCTCGATTTAAGCTAATTGAATGGATCCAATCAACTTATCGTTTTAATTTTACTGAAGATTTTGTCGATGATGATTGATTATTCCGAGGGAGAATCGGCGAATGGAGAAGATTTATTATTACTATAATTATTCAAAACAAATTTGGTTTCTGGAAGCTTCGTTCAATGTTATTTTGGGTTTTCAAGCTACACCTAGAGTCTTCCTTTGCATTTAATACCACAACGTGGGTGAAGAAGAAGAAAATTAGATGGAAAAACTACATTGTTCATCACTTATCTTAACCATCTTTCTGTTTCAGTCAATAAATTTTAAAAACTTTTACTTTTATCACTCCATTTTGATATTAATTCATTTTTTTTAAAGTGTCGTCCAAGTTTTTTTCCCATCACACTATCTTCTTAATAAATTTAAAATTTTTATAGTTTCGTCCTCGTTTCATTCTACAATCAAAATCATTATTTTTTTTTATATATATATTCTCCAATCACTCAAGACACTAAAGAATTAGTGTCATAACCATTTTTTTTAGGTAAAACAATTAAATATTATTTTAAAAATGATTATGACTTTAATTAAAAAAAATGGGTGATTTTAGATTGATTTGAATTAAATTGAAAATAGAGTCGCCATCGACCTTTGGGTTAGGTAGGTCAAATACCCAAAAACGTCTTTAAAAAAACAATTTTAAGGAAAATCATTTTTAAAGACAAAAATGGTATGCGTTTACCAAAGATTCGATTTAAACGGGTTCGGAGTCGGTTACGCGTAGGGAAGGATTAGCCCCCACAACGCCCAAAAAATGGTACTGTGTCGCTTTCATGTTGTCGTAATGGCGAAAATGATAGATCGAATATAAAGTTAAAATGTGATCCATTTATTGAAATTTAATTAATTGCTTCGAATTAATGAATGTTAGGGAAAATTCTTTAATTCAAAAGAAATCTAGAAATAGTAATTCTCCGTCGGAAAAATTAATTTCAACTTTCTTATTAGTAAAAGAATATTCCATCATAAATAAATATACGAATCGCATATAAAGGAAAATTGACGATTTGCATTAGCATAATGAATAAAATAACACATTGCATCATTAAAATAAATTAATTAGTAACATAAACTCGATTTATTTCAAGTTACTATGTCGTTAAAATGTCGTACATGATCGAACCACTTCGACCAAGTGGTACTTTCCACGCTCATTTACGAATACGTGTTTGAAACACATTCGGATGCATAAACCTTTTAATCAAGTACGAGAGACACATAATATTGATATGAAGGCTAATTTAAAATTAAATTATATGAATGAAATAAAATAATATAATGAAATAAGCAATATATAGTCATACAAGGATTAAGAAAAAATAATTAAACACACATAAATATATATATATGCATAAAATATATACATATATATATATAATAAACATCTAATAACATAAATATAAACATATTAATTAAACGGTTTGAACTAGGATAATTAAATGACTTTAAAAAACAAAAGGACTAAATTATAAAAGGACAAAATGATAAAGCATAAATATGTAATAAACACCATAATTTCACTTACAAAACCAAAACAGTGACCAAAATGGGCTAAAAGTGAAATCTAAGATCTATTTTACAAACTCAAAATTTATCTTTCAAAATAATATTTAAAGACTGGAACAAAAGACAAATAAATTCAGGAACCAAATCATAAATACAGATAAATTCACTACTAGACAAATAAGGATCTAAATGAAATAAATCATGAATTAATAGCCTAAAATAGACATTAAACCAAATTTATATTAAATAACATATAATGATTAAAATACAAACAATCAATACTTGAAACTAGAAATTAAAGGATTCAAACTTCTATTCAGTGACTAATATGAAAACTTAAAAAAAATATGTGCTCAAAGTAAAATATCAACATACACATATTTAATATAAAAGCTAGGACTAAATACAATGAAAATAATATGAGGCCCGAAATCAAAGATTTCAAAATTCATTAATGACCAGTTACAGAACAATACAAACGTGGGGGACTTAAACTAAGATTTACCCTTTTTTGCAAAAACACGCACCCAGCCCCTTTAGAATGACGTCGTTCAGCGTCTGAGATATAAGCCCCTTTGAGGGTTTTCATTAAATCATTTTTTCCTCTCCCTCTGTTGCCTCTCTCGTTCTAAAGGGAAAGAACCATAGAACCCCCTCAAGGCTCACCGCCGTTCGACTCAAATGGCCCCGAAATCTTTCCGTTTTCAACGCGATTTAAGCCCAGTTTAGAACCCCATATATCCTTCCTCACATTCCCCTCGGGTTTGGATGACAGTGGTTACTAAGGGGGAGGTAAGTATTTCTTTTGATTTTTTCTCTCTGGTTTTGGTTCGAATGCTTTCTCCTTTTTATGGTTTTTTTTCGTTCACTCTCTCTGGTTTTCCTCTCATTTTTCTTTTGTTTTGGTTCCCACCGAATTCCCTTGATATCTCCTCATTCCATTTCTTTTATTGCATGCTTGATGGATTTGATAAATCCCCCGGGATTTTAGACTTGATTTGCTCTTATATTTTATTGGGATTTTCTGATTGATATCTGTTTATGTCACTGTTTGATGGATGGGTAGGTATGGGACTTGCCGGTATGGGCAAGGTGTTGGGTTTGGAATGACACTTAGTGGGGAACAACAGGGCATGGGTTGTGCATGGGGGACATCAATGTATGGAAGCTATGTAGGGACCAAAAATTGGTTACTACAGCTGCCCCTCTTTGCTCATTGTTGTGAGAACAGGAATAGAGCAAAGACATAATACCAATTTTTGGATTGTCAACAAGTCTCAAGCTCTTCTTTGATCGGCTCTCATTTCTTCGATTAATCGTTGTTATTGATGACACATTCTTTTTGGAGGTAATTTGTTGCTGAAGACGACACTGCTCATCCGCGATGATTAGATCGTGTCGTTTTCGATTACGATGTTGTTCCTTCGTGATGAGGAAGTCAGATTGTCTGAGGGTGACACTGCTCTATGTGATGAAGAGGTCTGGTCGAGGAATGACACGGTATACGTGATGAAGAGTTCTGGCCATCTAAAGGTGATAACACGGTTCCTACGTGATGAGGACGGCTGGTTATCTAAGGGTGACACGGCTCCTACGTGATGAAGAGGTCTGGTCGAGGAATGACACGACTCATACGTGATGAGAGTTCTGGCCATCTAAAGGTGATAACACGTTCCTACGTGATGAGGACGGTGTTATCTATGGTTGACACGGCTCATACGTGTGATGAGAGATCTGGTATGGGGAATGACACGGCTACGTGAGAAGAGTTATGGCCATCTAAAGGTGATAACACGGTTCCTACGTGATGAGGACGGCTGGCCATCTTTAGGAGTATGGTTTCAAGAGAAACCAAATTAAAGATTTGTTTCAAAGAAACAACCCAAAGATTTGTTTCAAGAAAAACATACTCAAAGACTTTGTTTGTTTTGTTTCAAGGGAAACAGATTCAAATGATAGTAAAATTTGTTTCCAAAGAAACAAACTCAAAGATTTTTCTCAAAGAACTGTCTCGAGAGAAACAAAATTTTGTTTCCAAAGAAAGATTAAATGATTTTTTTTTAGACATTGTCATAAGAGACAAAACTTTGTTTTTCAGAAAATTGTATCTTAGTGAGACAAATTTTGTTTCCAAAGAAACAGACTCAGATTTTCTTCAAAAGAAACTGTTTTAAGGGATAAAACCTTTTCCAGAGAAACAAACTCAAATGATCTTGTTTTAAGAGAAAATGTTTCAAGAGACAAAATTTGTTCAAGGGAAACGACTCAAAGATGACATGAAAGGAAATTGTCTCATGCGAGACAAAATTTGTTTAATAAACGATCTCAAAGGTGGGTATTTTCAAAAGAAGTTGTCTCGAGAAAATTTTTTTCAAAGGAAACAAACTCAAAGATTTTTCTCAAGAGAAATTGTCTTTAAGAGATAAAAATTTGTTTCAAAAGAAATAGACTCAAAGATTTTTTCAAAGAAAAACTCAAAGTATTTTTTAATTAGAAACTGCTCAAGAGAGACAACATTTGTTTTTAAAGAATAGACTCAAAGATGATTTTGTTAAGAGAAACAAACTCAAAGATTTCAAATGAACATATTCAAAGATTTACTTCAAGAGAAACGGTCTCAAGAGATACAAAATTCATTTTAAGAGAAACAGATCAAGATTTTTGTTTCAAAAGAAATTATCTTAAGAGAGACAAAATTTTGTTTCCAAAGAAACACTCAAAGATTTTTATTTCAAAAGAAACACTCTCAAAGATTTTTTCACAAAATTGTCTCAAGAGAGACAACACTTTGTTTCAGACTCAAAGATTTTTCACGAAATTGTCTCAAGAGAGACAAAACTTGTTTCAAAATAAAGACTCAAAGATTTTTCAAAAAGAACAACTCAAAGATACAACTCAAGATATTTATTCAAAAGGAACAAACTCCAAGATTTTTATTCAAAAGGAACAGACTCAAAGATTTATCTCAAGAGAAACTGTCTCCAGAGAGACAAAATTCGTTTTAAGAAAAAGATTCAAAGATTGTCGATATTGTTTCTAGGGAACATCTCAAAGGTGTTTTTTTTAAAAGGGAAACTGTCTCACGCGAGAGAATCGATTTTGAAAAACTCAGTGATATTAATTTTGTTTCAAGTACAACAAATTTAAATTTGTATCTCAGGAAAAATGTCTCAAGCGAAACGAAATTTGTTTCGAAATAAACACAATATCAAGTGAGATTTTGTTTTAAGTGAAACAAATTCAAAATTAGTATCTCAAAGGAAAATGTCTCAAGCGAGACGAATTTGCTTTAAGATATAGTCTCAAATGAGACAAAATTTATTTTTAGAGAAATTGTCTCAAGCGAGACAAAGTTTGTTTTGAGAAAAACGATCTCAAGTGAGATCAACTTTGTTTAATGTGAAACAAATTCGAAATTTGGATCTCAAAGGGAAAAGGTCTCAAGCGAGACGAAATTTGTTTTGAAAGAAACAACAATCTAAGGTGAGATTAATTTTGTTTTAAGTGAATCAAATTCAAAATTGTATCTCAAAGGAAAAATGTCTCAAGCGAGACGAGTTTGTGTTTTAAGAGAATTTGTCTTAAGTGATACAAACTTTGTTTTAAAGAAATTGTCTCAAGCAAACAAAATTTGAGAAAA